AGTTGCCGTCTAGATGGAAACAGATTATCGAACGAAACGGCGCATATTTGAACTAAATCCGATCACTGTAACACTTTTTATAAAGCATAAGTAAAAAATTTCAAACTTCCTGCTAAAACGGCATTAAAATACACTCGCAAGCAACCAAATCGACAACCAAAGCAAAAATTAAAAAATTTCAAACTTCAGAACCAACCCCTTGGACGGCCGGAGACCAAAGTAGAAAATGATAAATTAAAGGCTATTGTTTTTTTTTTTTTATTTGATATAATGAATTGAATGAATCGAACTTGCAAACACGCGTCGACTGCTGTGTTACTTTCCTCAACCGACACAATAATGAAGGGATTTTAAATCGAATCATTACTTGTGATGAAAGGTGGATACGGTACGATAATCATAAGAAGCGCTCATCGTAATTGCTGAAGCCTGGAGCCACAAACCTGACCCAGCAAAATCCTGCCCTAAAGGATAATTTACTCAGAAGAAGTTACTTGTGTGTTTGGTGGCTTAGCGCCGGTTTCATTTAATACAGCTTTCTAAAATCTGGCCAAATGACTACGGCATATATCTATTCTCAGCAACTGCAAACCATGAAGGAAGAACTAGCTGCTAAACAACCGAAATTACTCAATCGCTCTAGGCCACTGCTGCTTCACGATAACGCAAGACCACACACTGCACAACAAACAACCACTACGTTATGAGCTACAATTGGAATGTCTGCGATATCCACCGTACTCCCCGGACCTTGCTCCAACAGATTACCATTTTTTTCGGAATTTGACAACTTCTTACAAGGAAAAAATTCAACTCCAATGCGGCAGTCCACACCGCCTTCAAAGAGTTGATTGATTCTCGCCCCCATGATTTTTTTTTTTGAGTAAAGGGATCAATGAACTACCTGTAAGATGGTAAAAATGTATAGATAACCACGGTGCATACTTTGATTAATTAAATATATTGAGTTAGCAACTAAGTAATTGTGGATTTCACTCATAGATGGCTTCAGTTGAATTTTTAGGTTTACAGACGTAGTACAAATGTAAAACACATTATTTGATAGTTGGCAATTCAGCTGTCAATCAGTAAAAAAAGTAAAAAAAGTTTTTTGATCGGTTGCGTAGTTTTCGTTTGGCCTACGTTGAAAAATGGAAAATCTTGAAAAAACGGTGGGAACATGTGGGATCGTCATGTTAAGCGCAGTTTCAATGGGTCAAGTCGGACAGTAAGGCGTTGACTATCGATAATTCGAGCCGCCCGACTTAGAATGCCGCTTTCAGAACATTTATTTCCATGATAAATTCGGTAGAAGAACAGAGACGCAACATGCGCAGTTTCAATGGGTCAAGTCGGACATAAACTATCGATAATTACTTTGAATGTCTAACGGAAGGAGTTTATGGTGAGAACAGTATTCCATATGCGGCCTGACTTGGGCTTTATATAATTTCAGGCGGTGTTCTGGCATGAAATATCGTCTCACCCTATTGAGCACTCCTAACTTTTTAGAAGCTATCTTAGCCTTCTCCTCCAGATGACCGCAAAAACGTCGCAAGATATATCAACGCCCAGAATTCCTAGACTTGACTTTTTATCAAGGGAAGTGCCCTGAAAGTGAGGAGATACGACAAACGGCGTCTTTTTTGCGGTAAACGCGCAGACTTGTGTCTTTTTGGGGTTAAATTGGACAAGATTTTGTTCACCCCAGATCGAAACTTGATGGAGTGAAGTTTCGATTTCAGACACAAGTCTATTCCGGCACTCATCGGTATGTGCCCGCGAGATCTTTGCATGACCGGTATATAATGTAACTGTCGTCCGCATAGCAATGAATATTACTTATCTGTAACATATCATTGATATGCAGAAGAAACAGAGTCGGAGATAGTACACAGCCTTGCGGGACACCAGCATTCAAAGGTTTTAAATCAGAGCAGTTTTTTGATCGGTTGCGTAGTTTTCGTTTGGCCTACGTTGAAAAATGGAAAATCAAAAGGAACATGTTCGTCATGTTTTGCTTTTTTATTTCCGTAAAGGAAAAAACGCATCGCAAGCTCATAAAAAGTTATGTGCTATTTATGGTGACGAAGCCTTAAAAGAACGGCAGTGTCAAAATTGGTTTGCCAAATTTCGTTCTGGTGATATTTCACTCAAAAATGAAAAACGCTCTGGTCGTTCAGTTGAAGTTGATGACGCCCTAATCGACTCGAATCGTCACAGTACAACACGTGAGATTGCAGAGAAGCTTCATGTATCACATACATGCATTGAAAATCACTTAAAACAACTTGGCTATGTTAAAAAACTCGATACATGGGCTCCTCACGAACTGAAAGAAGCACTTTTAATGCAACGCATTAACAGCTGAAATTTGCTAAAGAAATGTAATGAAAATGATCCTTTTTAAAAAGCGACTGATAACTGGCGATAATAAATGGGTTGTTTACAATATCATGCGGAAAAGATGGTGGAGTAGGCCAGGTGAACCAACTAAACAACATCAAAGACTCAACACAAAGCTGATATTCATCAAAAGAAGTTTTTGTTATCCATTTGGTGGGATTACAAAGAAATTGTCTACTTTGAACTCTTACCACCCAACGTAACGATCAATTCTGATGTCTACATTGAACAACTAACAAAATTAAACAATGCAGTTGAAGAAAAGCGGCCCGAATTGACAAATCGAAAAAGTGTTGTATTCCATCATGACAATACAAGGCCACACACATCTTTGTTCACTCGGCAAAAATTATTGGAGCTTGGTTGGGATGTTTTGCCACATCCACCATATAGTCCTGACCTTGCACCATCTGATTGCTTTTTGTTTCGATCTTTGCAAAACTCTTTGAATGGTAAAAAAATTAAATAATGACGATGATGTCAAATCGTACTGATTCAGTTTTTTGCTAATAAATACCAGAAGTTTTAAGAACGTGGGATTATGATGCTGCCTGAAAGATGGCAAAAGGTCATTGATCAAAATGGGCAATACATTACAGAATAAAGTAGTTAAGTACCATGAAAAATTGTCTTTGATTTTCTAAAAAGAATCCGCAATTACTTAGTTGCCAACCAAACATTTCACAAAAAGCCAATTTCATATGTAAGGACCTAATACAACTGTGACGAGAAAGGTGTATAGGTGATACCAAAATCAAGGTCCAAAGTGATCGCAAAAACAGGTAATAAGTGGGAGCTTTGACGTCGGCCGAACAAGGAACAACTATAACGATTGAAATTTGTTTCAACACTGTAGGGATATATCTTCAAATTATTTTTATATATCCAAGTAAAAAAATGAAGCCCGAACTGCTCAATGGAGTTCCACTAAACTCATAGGCTGAATGCTCAGATGATCTTGAGAGATCAGATTCAGAGATCTAGATTGATCTTGATCACTGCAGAAATTTTATTAAGACGATTTCAGACATTTATAAAACTCACCAACGCTTCTAGAGCCAGCCCAGTCATGCTCATTTTAGATGGCCATGCCTTACACATCCAAAACTTGCAGCTAATTGATGAAACATATGAACATGACGTGACAATACAATGCTTCCCACCACCCGCCACGCACAAACTACAACCAACAGATGTTTTATGCAGCCATTGAACATCTTTTATGATTAGGCCATAACAGCATGGTACTTATTGATTTTTTATTAATAAGTACCATGTAGTATTACTTGGTAATTTACTAAGTTTAGCTCAAACAGATTATACCCATCGACCCAATCAAATAGTAAATATAATTTATTAAAAATTAGCTATTAAGTATGAGTTAATCACAGATAAACAAAAAACCTATTATCAATATACTCCGAACTCTGTACTAGAAAATAATAGATATAAGTTGAGCTTTGACAGAGCAATATTAATAAATAAATACATTACAATAGACCAGATATAATTTTGATAAGTAAAATTGCTAATTATGCATATCTAATAGATATCGCTGTACCCAATAGCCATAATACACAGAAAACCACATCAGAATAAATAAATAAATAAATACACTGAGCCGAAAGAAGAGATTATCAGAATTTGGAACTTAAATAGTGCTTAAATAGTACCTCTTGTGCTTTCTAGTACAGGTATAATTTAAATAAACCTACACCATAGTTTAAATACAATAAATTTACCACAAAATACATACATCACAATGCAAAAAGCATTCATCTTAAATACATATCGTATCATATACAAATTCCTACAAGATCCTCCTAATTATTAATTAACATTATTAGTTTCATATAAATTTTACAGAACATTTTTTAAATATCTCAAAGTTTTACTCTTTGCAAATCACAGATATTGATTTGACAACAATATGCTACTACTCTCTCATCCCATTTCATCACCAAAGCCTAAATGCAATTACCAACCTGTCTGCTAAGTGTGGCAACTACTGACAAACCTCACCCAATAGAGGAAGACCTGTTCAACATGAACAGTTAACAGCTGACATGATGATGATAATAATATGCTATTATTGTATCATTAATGGTTCACAATACTACTAGAACTATAATTTACAAATATTGAACAAATAGCCCCATGACATGTAAATACAAACAGCCCAAGAATCCCACAAGAGATCAAAGTTGACAGAAGAACAATCACTTACCATCATTACTTGATTATTTAAATTTTAATAAAATATTCATATATACCAAAGGCAGAAACAATTATATTTTTTTTAATGTTACATGATTATCCAAAATCCAATGCACTGTATACAATCTAATGATAGATTACTATGATACAATTGATATCAATAAAATAGTACAGCAAACTATTGTGTACTCTTGCATCACCGAGAACAAAAATAGATAGCACAAAGACCTCATTGCCATGACAATCCTCTTAGCACAGAAGTAGATGAAAGATATATTTTTTAATTCCAGTAGACTTAATTATACTTTTTTTTTTTTTAATTTAATCAGAAATTTTAAGCCATGACAGTTTTTAACTAATGTGGCTGTTATCATACACTACCCTACTTTTGTAATTGTAACAAAGTTTTTTGGTTCCAATAAAGATTATTATTATAATTATTTTTGAATTAACATTATTTTTATGATGCTACTTTCCATTCAGAATGCAATTTCAAATGAAAAGAACCAGCAAGAAACTTAACAAAAATTGATTTTACAATTATGAATTTATGTCCATTCACCTTAATTAAATCAATAAAGCGAAAACTTTGATAGCAAAGAGCTTCAGTAGCCATTTACCATTGTCATTACAACCACACGCACTATCAAGAGTGAATAATTACGAAAGATAAATAGTTAATTTGCATGAATGTAAAGTTACTTCAAAATGTTCATGGACTATTAGAAGAGTTTTGAAGAAAAAACATGTTTGACATGCCAATTATGAGCCGGCTTATGTTTAGATGTGGACAATTAATGGCGTAATGACTGTATGAAACACCAATTACTCTATATTCCAATATTCATTATTTTAGAAACAGGTTAAATAAATATTAACACCAAGATATTGAAAAATCAACAGCAAGACAACATTTTAAACATAGAACCACGCTGACAAAAAAAAATCCGTCAAAAAGGTACCTAGCGATATGTTGCACGTTTATTACAAACGTGTACCCAAACAAGAGTTACATATTTCAGGGTGAAGAAATTTTAAGATAAATTCAAACTATAATACCAGCAATTCAAATAGTTGCTGCGACAGACGCTGAAAATGCCTCAAATATTAAGTAACCAACAATCTTAATTCCCAATGTGGCGGGACTTACAAGACAAACCAATATAAATGTAGAATAAAACTAAAAAATTAGGACGTTGAACGAATTAACTATAAAAATATGAAATAACGATGGGATTAACGGCACTAAAAGTCACCTATTGTTTAAACAATTATGTGAAGCGAACAAACAAAATGTCGTTTTTTTTTTTTTTTTTTTTTAGTACGTTTGTTCCGTTTGGAACAGGCTAAGGTCGGAGACCATGCTGCCTAGTCTTCAAAAAGATAAATTGTCTGGAATTTTATTTTTCTAATGTCGCTTCAATTATTGTCATAATCTTCAATATTTCATTTGTCAAATCCGGTAAGTACATTTTCATAAATATCTTTTCTTGAGTTTTCTTAAACCAGTGGATTTATCAAATTAAAAATAAATAATTATAAAAAATCATTGTCTTGCAATTCAATAAAAGTATTCTTATAGCTCTTTGAATGTTGTAGTAATATAAGTGAAAATAGCTTTGAAACAAGAAGGAAATCTTAAGAGAAGCGGGATTGAGTGCGGGATATTTTCGGGTTTTTTGAAGATAATCCTAAGTTCGTCAAACATAATGTGTCTTTGAATGACAAATTCAGAGCAATCAAAAAAAAGGTGATGTAGAGATTGGGCTGTATTTGAGTTACACCATGTGCATGATGGGGAAGCGATCATGCCCATTCGGTGCAGGTGTTCGTTGAAATGTCCGTGGCCGATTCGTAATCTACAAATATTGGTGTAAAATTTTCTGTTTGTGTCCTTTCCTTTGCAGAACCACGGTTTTCCAATACGCCAATTAATTTTGCGGTACCATTTGCCTTTAGTCTGTAATATTTGAGTCCAATGCTCCTCCCATTTAGTTGTAACGATTTTATGTATTCCAATACTACAATCTGAATAACAAAGGGGTAAATCTTGAACACGAGCAGCACTTGAATTAATAATTTTAGCCAAAGTGTCTACTTGTTCATTCCCAAACACTCCAATATGTGAAGGGGTCCAGATGAAGATAATATCTTTTCCATGTATAGTACAGAGATGATAATATTTATTACGAATTTCTTGAATTAAGTAGTTTGATGATGAAATGAATGTGTTATTTTTTAATGCCATAAGAACACTCATACTATCTGTAATTATAATCCATTTCGAATATAGTACCTGTTTTTCTATGTATTCTAATGCTAAAAATATAGCTTTTGCTTCTGCTGTGTAAATACTAGCCAAAGTTGAAATTTTATAACCGTGACCAAATCTATTTGACAAATCGTAAAAAGCCACTGAAGTGCTAAGTGCATTTTTGGAACCATCTGTATATATCTGCCTGTAGTCAATAAATTCTGATAAAGTCTCATACATATCGTGCTTTTCTTTTATGTCTTTACGTATAACAATTTTGATCTTACAGAACTTACTCTCATAAAGGCCATTATAACAAGGAAGTATCTTACTACTATAGATGTTATATTCATCTCGTAAATTCAAATCATTGACAATAGTTTTATTCAAAAACATAGAAATGGGGCAATTTAATAATTTGAGTATGAGTGGGTTATTGGAAACTGAAAAAACTTTGAAGAGAAATTTGAGTTTTAGGTATTCGAAACGAAGAAGGATAGGAGGCAAATTACATTCTACTTGCATTGAGATAATTGGAGAAGTATACATAGCACCTAAAATAAGTCTTAAATTCATATTTTGAATTTTTTCGAGTTTTTCTACTAATTTATGTTCTGAGGCATAACAAAAGAAAGCGTAATCAAAATTACTTCTAACAAGAGATTTGTAAAGTAAAAGGATAATTTTAGGATCAGCTCCCCAGTTACGACCAATTACAGATCTTATTATATTAGTGGCTCTTAAAGCACGATCTACTAAGCAATCAACGTATAGATCCCATTTTAAATTTTGATGAAAAATTACCCCCAGAAATTTAACGCTACAGTCTGTTGGAAGAGTTTGATTATTATATATAATATTCATTAATGGAACATATTTATGAACTTGATGAAAAACAACTACTTTACTTTTGGTTAAACTAATATCGAGGGAAAAAAGAGAAAAATATTTCTCAAGTCTTTTTAATGACTCATTTAACACTAATTGCATATCAATAATATTCTTTCCTTTTATATAAATTAATAAATCATCGGCAAATTGCAAGTTGTTCACACTGTTTCCTAAAATTGAATTAAGTTTATAGATATATAAAATATATAGTAGCGGGCTTAGAATACCACCTTGACATACTCCTTTAGAGCTTAACCTAGGTCCTATTAATTTACTATTTACTTTAACATACACTTCTCTATTACTAAGAAAATTATAAATCCATTCGATAAGTTTCATTGGAAGAAATGAGGATAAAATCGAAGATAGAACTGTTAAATTTACATTGTTAAAAGCTCCTACGACATCTAAAAAAACAGATAGAACATATTCATCGTTATTCAAAGCAGTACTAAGGTCGACATAGAAGTTCGCTAAACTTTCGCGCGCTGAATATCCACGGCGAAAACCAAATTGATTCGATGGTAATATACTATTACTTTCAATAAAGAACTCTAAACGCTGTTTAATTAATTGTTCGAATAATTTGCCTGCACAGGACGTCAATGTTATAGGTCTATAGGAGTCGAAATTTGTAGGATCTTTACCGGGTTTAATTACTGGAATCAAACAATCCATTTTCCATTCTGGTGGGATAATACAGTCCTTCCATAAATCGTTAAAAATTTGTAAGAGTTTAGTAAGGTTTATTTTATTCAGCAATCGAAACATATTGTATGTTAAGCGATCAAGGCCACTAGCTGTATCTTTTCTAGATTTTACTGCACTGGATATTTCATCAATTGAGAATGGGTCAGTGAGAAATTTTGGGCATGAATTAACAGAATTAAACTGTTTGTCATCAAAAGGTGAGTGTACAAAATCAGGAGTATATTTGCGTAAAAAATCATTGACCCATGATATATCTTTAAAATGATTTTGACGATGTTTTGAATTTAGTTTTCTCATATTTTGCCAAACAGTGGAAATTGGTGTTAATCTATTAAATTTGGAACAAAATTCCTGCCACCCCTGTTGTCTTACTTGCTTAATTACTAACTTTTTAACAGCTTGAACTCTTTTAAAATTTATGTAATTATCGAGAGTTGGATTTTGTTTAAACCTAAGGTAAGCCGCTTTACTATCATTGACAGCTGTCGCACACCTGTTATTCCACCAAGGTACTGCAATATGTTTGTGCCTCTTTGAAGTATTTGCACCGCTATTTGATAAGTTCCTACGTGGAACGGAACGTTCCACAGCTGTCAAAATAATTTTACAGAACCTATTGTAATTGTTTAAGGGTTCATTGACATCACACTCGAAATCCAAAAGTAATCGATTAACAGTTTCAGAATAAAGATCCCAATTAACGAGACGTAGGTTTATACGATTTAACAAAAGTTTATTAACTTCATCTATAGGAGCATGTTGTTCACCTGACGGAGTTGATGAAGAGTTCTTTGTGTTTATTTTAGTAAAAGTCGGCAGGTGATAACTTCCTAACGGATCATCATGAACCGACCACTCGCATTTTAATGATATGGATGGGGATACCATAGTTAAATCAAGGCCATTGGGTCTCCAAATATGAGAGCCAACAGTAGTAACTTGCTTATCATTTAATAGTACCAAATTACATTCATCTAAACAATCAAGAATGTCTTTACCTCTTGTATTAGTGGAGGTACAACCCCACATAGTATGATGTGCATTTAAATCTCCAGATATGATAGTGGGTTTAGGAAGAGACTCCAAAAAGAACTTAAATTTGGCTTTAGTAAAACTAGGTGTACTATTGGTAGGACAGTAAATACTGGCAACTGAATACCAAGAATTATTAACTTCAATACTAATAGCTATAGTTTGCAAAGAATTGTCGAAAAAAGAGTGAAGTTTTTTATATCTAATACTATTATGTATAATAATCGCTACTCCATTGTGGTTATTACCACAATCATTTCGTTCTATACAATAATCTTTAATTTTTAATTTGTAATGTGGTTTTAGCCAAGTTTCTGAGATGAGAGCAATGTGAATATGATGTTCATTTAAAAATTGTGTAAAAATATGTCGATTGCTCAGTAGGCTCTGAGCGTTCCACTGTATGATAGTTAATTGGTCTCGATTGAATTTTGTGAAATAGGTGTATTACCAAAAGTATCATATAACACATTCAAAACACTTTTAGTGTTAATAGATGTGTTCTTTGTGTTATGTAGTGAAATAAGTTTGATTATGCTTTCTATTAAAAGTGATAAACTCTTGTTATCAGAATTTAGAATTGAAATTAGGTCTACATTTTTTTTAGGTTTGTTACCCAGTTTAGGAAATATTTCAGTGCTAAGTATATCTCCAAAAGAAGCAGGTCTGAATTTAGATCTATTTTCAGCAATTTTCTTTTGTTTAACAGGGCATTGCGGTGATACACTTGTGTGATTTCCATTGCAGTGTACACAAATAGCGTTTTCCATTCCAGTTGTACAAGTTTTATAATTATGCTCACCTTTGCAGATGCTGCAACGCTCAGAATTCTTACAGAATTTAGCTAAATGTCCATACCTCAAGCACCGGTAGCATTGTTTAACTGGTGGTATATATGGAGTGACATTGTGGCGCCAACCTCCAATATCCAGATATTCAGGTAATACAGATGCAGCAAAAGTAATTGTCACGGTTAGAGTTGGCTGTAACACATATCCATGAGTCAAGGTATTTTTTCTTAAAATTCTTTTAATAGCAATAATTTTCTTAGAACTCGATATCATAGTATATATTTTTTTATTAGATATATTTGTAGGTACATTTCTAATAACGCCTGTAACTTCTGTTGAAGAAGCAGGAATACTGGCCTTAAAATGGTAGTCATTTAAAAAAGTTTTATTATTTAAAAAAGCATTGGCTAAGTCTGGCTTTTGAAAGTATACTCCGATTTTGAATTTATTTATAGATCTAAGATAAGTTACCCCTTTATTAAATCGTTTTAAACAGGAGGAGAGTGAGAGCAAGTCTCTGGATCCAATGGTTTTCTGACTATCTGAGGATTCTACAAAGACAACAAATTCTGTCCCAGGGGATTCCTCGGGATATCTTCTAATATAATCTGTGACGTAGTAAGGTTTATACTTATCGGCCTTATCAATTTCAGATTCTGAGTCAGTAGAAGTATCTTCCGAATATATATCCTTGTCATTACAAGGTTCATGGTCTACATCACCTGAATCGTCATCTTTTTTTTTCCTTTTTCTACAACTGCGCTTCCCCATGAATGCTAATTATATTACTGTCGCTGAATTTAGTGAAAATATAATATTTTATTAAATAATAAGAATTGATAGAGATAGTTTTAATAAATTAATAAAAAAAATTTAAAAAACCCGCTTGTTCTTATTCGAGTTTCCCGCCTTTTCCCTCAACCACAAAATGTCGTTTATTGAATTGATCAGCGGCAGTGCTGCCAAATAGGGATGTTAAAAATAATCGATTTTTATTTAAGTCAACTTTTATTTTCTTATAATCGATATTTTTTAATCAATTTTCATAGTAATATTAATCAATTTTTAATAAGTCGATTATATAAATTACGCCTTTAAAACGATTTTCATAAACAGCGTTCTCTACGCGACAGATGAAAAAAATTTACTGTAAGTATTTTATAAGAATTAGGTCTTACATCTCTTGACATTACCTGTTAGGTTTTTTTTCATTTTTATTTAGATCTTAGATGATTTGGAAATGGGACAAATGTATAATACTAATTTCTAATTCTAAGCTTCTACAATTTCTATCATAATAACTCTTATGTTTATGTGCATTAATATACAATGATTTTTGTACTCTTAAATTTTCAATATTAGGTTTACAAATCTATAGAGGCAATCCTTCAATTTAATTCTTTAGATATGGGTGTATTTCTATACTCTAATAGTACTAAGTATTTATTTTTACCTTCACTATGAACTTTCTTAAACAAATTGTTAACTGTTTGTATATACCTTTCTGCCAAGCCATTAGACTAAGCATATATATTATTGGAATATGAAAAGCATGTAAATTTTTAAATAAAGGATAAAAGCGCTTTTGACAAATCTATTAATATAAAAAAATGAAAAATAAATTTTTATTTAATTGATTCAGATCCACTATTCTCACATCCCTACTTCCAGATAAATCGCAAAAAAATGTGTTCTCACAATAATATTTACATAATTATTATTCTGTAATTATTTATTTATTTTTATTTTTTTTTTTACAAATTTTACAGAAAAATACAATTACATGAAAAAATACAACTATATATGTATGTATAATTACAATGGTCTGTAAAACTTGTGGAGACTGGACCCTAAATTAAATCAGAGATCTGTATCTCAGGAATCCAGGCCTCCAACTCTAATTTATAAACTGTAATTGAGAATTTTTGCTTCATAAATTTTAGGGAGAAATTTTTGTTTTTGCATTTTTAGCCTTAAGTCAAATAATATGTAATATAAAATTAATTAAAATCGATAAATTATTTTATTATGTTTGGATTTAAAGTTTTTATTTTATTATTTCTTTGTCATATCTATTAGGACCTAAGAACAAGATCATAAATCGTATGCATAGTAAATCATATGGTTGCCTTCTTTCTTCTTAAGCAAATATAATAAATAAAAGGAGTACGAAAGATACACCATCAATTACTACTTTTATCATAGCAGGTTAGTGCATAGAAAATTTAATACGGTCGTATAACCTTACCATATTCAAATAGAACCTACTTGCATATTTTCTGTGCCGAATATATAATCTAGTAATGTACATTGATAAATAATTGACATATCAAACTTTTCAATACACTAGCCTGCTATTAATTGAGGAAAATAGCAACTGATGGTGTATCTTTCGTCCACTTTTTACTAATTATATTTGCATATGAAGGAAGAAGGCAGCCATATGATTTACAGTTTTTATTTTATTATTCGATTTTATGTAATTCTTATTTTTAGATTAGGATTACAACTGAAATGCTTATACCACAAATACTAACTTTAGTCATTTCGTTCTATCTAATTAACCCTTAAAAGCCTGATTTTTTAAATCAAATTAAGAAATATATAAGTGTATTCTTTACTGTGTTTACTAATGGGGAAAAACAGTAAAAAAATCAAAACGATATTTTTATATATTTATTTTGAAAAAAACATTTGGTTTCATTTTTGATACTTTTACGGTTAAATTTGACTTGAGTCAATAAATTCAGACTTATACCGAATCGAGTATTCTATTAAATGCTAATAATGTTTTAAATAATTTCTGAAGATTACATTTAATAAAAACAAATAATAATTTCATAATTAAGTGATCTGTCATTTAACAATTTTTCGTTTAGTATTGAAGGACAAGTGAATGAAACTATGTAACACAGTCGATAAAATTGTTACCTACTGGAAACCTATATTAGAATTTTGTGTACCTATTTGAATACGTGGGTCGATTCTGATATTTCTCTAAACCTATTACTAAAAATTTCAATTTCAAATTACAAGGAAATCTTTGCTCTAAGACCATAAACAAATATAAACTTTAAGAGAAACAGATAAATAATAAAACACTCATAAATAAAATGTCATAAACTAGTTTTCTTATAGATTTAAATTAAAATATTTATAATTTTAGTTTATAATGGTCCATGTCAAAGTACTATTTCGAATTAATCTAATTAAAATATTAAGTTTAGAAATACGTTTATGGGAATTGCGTCTTTGAATGATCTTGCGGTACATTAAACTACTGAGAATCTGTCATTTGCACATCACTCACTAGTGCAAACGTCAAATTAAAATAGAAAAAAGTTAATTCAGTACACTTCGCTTGAATTCCGTTTTCTTTTTATAAAACATTTTAAATTTGGTTATTAACGTTTAATTTATAAGTAAGCTTTGAAAATAATTTTTATAATAAAATGGATGTAACTGAAGATAATTTGGCCACATTGGCGAACTACTTGCAGCAAACATTGAATCCCGATCCCAATGTCAGAAGACCCGGTAAATTTTTTTTTTAAATAATAATACTAATGATAGTTTAATTACATTAAATTTTTTGCATTATACAAATAATTGTTAATGTGATATATATATATATATATATATATATATATATATATATATATATATATATATATATATATATATATATATATATTATCTTCATTAAATTGCAATTTATTTATTCTTAAAAATATTAACCGCATGTATTGTTTTCATAGTTTTTGTATACTTTTAAAATGGAATGAACATTTCATTGTAATATCCACCTAATATAAGGTTTTTTGATTCAACTTTTTCTATAATTTGCAAACTAAAAAGATGTTGCGTATGGGGTTAGGACGTGTTGGAGGTTTAAATAGAATATTTCTAGCATCTTCCAAAATTATCAGAAATTAATTTTTGAAACCTAACCTTAAAATTAATAAGAATATACAAATTAGTATTGTTTAAATATGTCAAATAGAGAAAAATTAAAGAGTGTGGGTTACTCCCCATCCCTTCTAGATTGAAATAACCCCACACTTGTTAATTTCAAAGTGCTCAATACTAAACTTGACTAAACACTCGGTATACATTTTAATCTGTGTCTATATTATCATGGAGTCTACAATTCCATAACTAATCTGTTTATTTGTTGTTTACTACTTCACTGGTATAAATGTTAAGTGTACCATGTAATATAGAGTTACTTTAATGAAAATTCATATGAACTATTTTTTTCTATTTCCTTTTTTTCATAAACTTAGATTTTAAATAAATTTAATTATTTAAATTCTTACAATAAAATATTACTAAACAGTATAAGATATACCTATGTAATTCTAAATATTTATGTAATAAAATGTAATAAAAATGGAGTGATAATCCCCTTCTGTGCTATCAATATTTACTGGTGGAATATCAGTTATGGATAATAGATGAAGATGAAGTCTATGTCAGTAGGTTCATTATGATATTGTATTTGTATTGTATCAACCAACTGTCCATTGCCTCCTCCATAAGGGAGGATTTGCCAGTAGTTGCCATACTTTGCAAAAGACATGAGAACCACAGTTTGGCTTTAGTGATGTTTTAAGAAGGATGTTACTGCCCATTCCTCGATCGTTAAATTCCATTAATTGCCTCTTATAACGCCCATGGTAAAGGCAAATGTGGCCCATTCTATGCTGGGATTGTATGTCAATTATGATGATAATTCACCAAGAATTAACTTCAATAGATTCCAGGGGAACTATTTGGAGCTAAACCTAATAGAATAAATCGCTAACAAATGGGTAATTAATACCCATTACTTACAATTCCATCCCCCAGGATCTGTTAATTATGCATTTTAAGTATAAAACAAAAATCTAAATTGTTTAACATAATATTGTTACAGCGGAGAAATTCCTTGAAGGTGTGGAAGTGAACCAGAACTATGCTGTGTTACTGCTCCATCTTGTAGAGAAGGAAGCGGCGGACATGACCATCCGTGTCGCCGCTGCTATAGCCTTCAAGAACTACATAAAAAGAAACTGGCCTGTGGTAAGTAAGCCTGCAGCCTATCTTTTTTCTTACAGTTCTCTACCCAAAAGTAGTCTGAAAGAGATTGCTTAACAATAAGGTGACCTTTTGTACCACTACAATAAAATTTACTATATTTATTATTTTTGTAACTGATGTAAAATAAGTATATTTTTACTAATATAAAATCAATAAACAATCATACTCTAAACCAGATAATAAATTTGCTTTGACCTCAATTGGTGATTAGTTAATGATTGTATATGTTACTAGTATTATTGACAAAAACAAATTAAATATGTACAAAAAAGAATCAGTTCAAAAATTACAATTAATAATGATGTTTATACAAGTTGTATCTGGTGGGTGATGGAAGGATGGAAAGTGGTAACCGTCGCCTATAGACATGAGCAGTACCATGGACATAACAGAGTATACTGTTTCGCCCATGATATTCCCCATGCGTCGCCATTCCTGAGGACTCAGGTGTTATTTCTCTGTACCCTGTAAATTTACGCCATATTCCACCCTTTAAACCGAAACACAGCCATGCAAACACAACTGTTTCACAGTAGAAACACGAATGGGACATGAACAACTAGTAAAAAAGTTGAACATTGGGTTTATGAATGATGTGATTATTTTTATAACTATTTTTTTTAATGTATATATTTTCTAATAAAAATAATTACTATTCTCAGGAAGATGAAAGCGCCGACAGAATCCACTTGTCAGATCGCAACGCCATCAAGAATCTCATCGTCTCACTGATGCTAAAGTCACCAGAGGCTATCCAGAGACAGTTCAGCGATGCTGTGTCGATCATCGGCAAATACGATTTCCCTGAGAAGTGGCCCACGCTTATACCAGAAATGGTTGAGAAGTTTGCCACAGGTATGATCACAATCTTCATTTTATAAATATTACTAGCTTTTACCCGTGACTTGAACTGTTTCCTTGAATCTGTCCTTGGTCCTTGACCTTGATATGTTCATTGACTAAAATAAAAAGTAGCCTATATGCTTCTCCATCATATATTACTATATATTATACTATATATATTCATGTACTCATGAATACAGAATTTAATTATGATGGATTAAGTCCTTAAGGTGCTAAGAAATAACAATCAAACAAAGTCACTTTCATATATTAGTGCAGATTTTTTCTATTTTTTTATTAGGTATTCAGGAGCTTTGCTCTATGGGTTGATAGATGATGATGAAATCAGTTTCTTTGGGTTATCATAACAAATTCAGGAAGAGTTCATCACCCCTTCTAACTATACCCTGATTATATGACTTGGTATTTTGGGCATTTCTCTTGCAGGGGCATATAATTCTTTCTCTAATCCTCTTATAGTGTGGGGGAAAGGATTGCTAGTAAGGAGGAAGTTAGACTTCGTTACTAGGAATATCAAGAGAATAGAGGGAAATAGTAATGGGATCTAACAGCTTCATTGCTAGCAATACACCTCGCCTGAAAACTTAGATGAAAAGCTAGGGTAAGCTGTTGTTATTAGTTGTGTTTTAATCTTAACATCATTTTCAGGTGACTTCCACGTTATCAATGGTGTACTGCGAACTGCTCATTCATTGTTCAAGAGGTATCGTTACGAATTCAAATCACAAAAACTGTGGGAGGAAATTAAACACGTTCTGGATAATTTTGCCAAACCCTTGACAGATTTGTTTGTGGTAAGTTGTCTCTCTAGATCCATTTTAATGAATATGCTTATAACGAATTTTATAATGATTGGTTTAGTTTTTAAAGCATGATTATGTAGGTAACAAGTAATGAAGGACTGGCTGAAAACCAGCACTGTGCAGCTGTACACATTGCACTGGGACACTCATAGCATCAGCTGAGCCAGTTCCTTTTGTCTTATATGAGACACTACTTATATATTATTTTTGTATTTTCTGTTGCAATTATGTGTTTTTCTGTCAATAAATATTTTCTTTTCTATTCAAATAAACAAACATTCACTTTCAAGTTTATAATTATTATTTATAACTGCTAACTTATATAAAAGTTATTTGCTTGGGCACTTCTGTCCTATTTGTATTTCTACTGGTAGTAGTTGTGTTTGCATAGCTGTGTTTCGGTTTGAAAAGTGAGATATGGCAATGAATTTACAGAGTACAGAAGAATAACACCTGAGTCCTCAAGAATGGCAACACATGGGGGGTATTATGGACGAAACTGTATACTCTGTTATGTCCATGGCGTTATGTACTCTCCTCTGTTACGTACTGCTCATTTCTAGAGGCGATGGTTTCCACTTTCCATCAGGTGGGCCGTCAGCTTGTCTGTCATTCTATGTTATATAAAAATAATATTATACTCCATCAATATTTATTGATTTATAAATGACATAATTATAAAATATTATAATAATATAATATGGTTGAAAATATCAATAATAATATAAATTCTATTACTTAAAAATATAGGTGAAATTCCATTGTTTTGTTACAGGCCACATTAGACCTAGCGACCAAGCACGCAGATAACCCGCAAGCACTACGTGTGATCTATGGCTCCCTAGTGCTCATATGTAAAGTCTTCTACTCACTCAATTACCAAGATTTGCCTGAATTCTTCGAAGACAATATGCCTATATGGATGCCAAACCTGCTAAATCTTCTGCAAGTTAAAGTGCCTTGCCTGGAAACCAGTGTAAGTAATTTTTTTTTTAATACCACAGAGGTGGCTAACAAGCATACAGCCAGTCTGTCTGCAACACTAGGGATGTCACATACACCTTACTGACCCTGAAGATATTTGAATTCATTAATTGTAAATATTTGAATTTAGAATGCAGATATTTTTAAACAGGATCAACAATCGAATAATTCTTATTGATACATTTGAAAGAATTGTAAAAATCAGTTCATAATTATCGATGTAGCTTGGTACCATGAAAACCTCCTTTTAGAAATTACTTAAAAAGGTAATCACAATCAGATGAGCTGCACGCTCATTTGTGCGCATGTTATAAAAAAATTATATAGTTATATTATATATATACCTTTTCTATTCATTTATTAGACATAAAAACTAATAAAATACTTCAATCCTTCAATATATTCTTTTTAAATCGTACATAGGTATAAAGAACACATGTTGTCATCAGCAACATCTTACTTTTCCTTCCTTCTTATCTAAGTTGTTCTTGAACATAGGCCTCCTCCATGGAGGAGGAAAATAAACAAATAATTAAAAAATAAAATAAATTCAAGTTTTTCTGTATACTGCATATTCGATGATAAGTACTAAGATCTAATATAATAATACCTACCCATATGTTTGTATGAGACACTACCCTTTAAGATATAAATACGCCTGTGTACTTCGCCATTATTATTTTCCTAAATTTTTTTTTTCTAGTATCTATGTACAAAATCTTTTGCAAACAAACAGACCATGGTGTATTGTTAACTCGCAGGCCGACGACGAGAACCCCGGCGTGCTGGAACAACTACGTACAGAGGTTTGCGAGTGCGCGGCCCTGTACGCATTAAAGTACGAGGAGGAGTTTGGACCTCACGCGCCCTCCTTCGTCACCGCCGTGTGGACCGTGCTGCTCGCTACCGGTCCGCAGCCCAAATATGACGCCGTGAGTATACAATCGCCCCACCGACACAAATATTAGTTGCACTTTTTAACAAATTAGTATGTGAATTCGTAGTGAACTCATGTTTTTTTGCTTTGGCCATTTGGGTAACCAGCTGCCATGTCAGGATCATGACCATGACGTATTTAAAACTATTTTCCAGAGTGGGGAAGAGGCTCGTCCCTTAGAAAAGGCGCATGTGTGTTCCCTTAAACTTTCCCTCCTCTTTTTACCTAAAAATTTCATTAAATAGTTTAATCAATATTATATATACATGCAATAATGTTTCAATCACAAAAAAATCAAATTAATGATCAGTCTTATTAATGATCCGTACCTGACCCAAAGATCCCCATGACACTTGCGGCATTTCCGCGTTGGATTGCCAGAGATATCCTTTGAGCCAAATACGAACCAGAACGGCGATCGTGGCCCCTATCCGCAATGCGCAGACTCAACTCTTATAAAGGATTTCGCTTCCGCTCCCCACACGCCCATAGTCTCAAAAGCAACGGAAACGAAGATGTAAGCTGGTATTTTGAATGTTTGATTCTAGCCGTAGTTTCCGCGACCGAACCAACCACACGATTATATATATAACATATATGAAGTACAAAAAGCGGTCTTATCACTAATGCAATCTCTTTCAGACAACTTTTGGTTAGAGGAAATTTATTATATTAATAAGGAATATTGTATCTGTTTTACCACAGTTAGTGTCCAATGCACTCACATTCCTTGCGAAAATTGCTGAGAAGAACAATTACAAAAACCTGTTTGAGGATCCTGGTACACTGAGCAGTATATGCGAGAAGGTGGTCATCCCCAACTTGGAGTTTAGAGGTATGTTCTGTTTATCTCTCATACAATTTGTATGCATCGTCATGACATTTATGAGAACATAGGTCTGGGCAACCGCAGTTAGGCTTTGGTGATTTTTTTAAAAGGGACACTGCTGCCCAAGCTGGACCATTAAGTTCCCTTAATCGCCTCTTATGAAACCTACGGGAAAGGAAGTTGTAGCCTATTCTATGCCGGGACCTCAGGTAGTATTAGTATAAATTTATAATATTCATATGAATACATTTTGCTCTCCGATCGTGTAGTGACAATAAAATCATATAATATCATAATATGATAACCAAATAATGGCTGAAACGATGATGATTAATATATATCTATAAATATAACTGCATTGTTATTATAATAATATAACTACAGACAACTGGCAATAGATATGAAGTCAGAATTTGCTGAATTCACTTGTATCCAGCACGCGGATCTCATCTATTCATAGATATTATAATACTACTAACCAATATGTGGTTACTGTGTCTAGAGTCAGATATGGAGCTGTTTGAAGACAACCCCGAGGAGTACGTGCGGCGTGACATCGAGGGCTCGGACGTGGACACACGGCGCCGCGCCACCTGCGACCTGGTCCGCACGCTAGTGCTCCACTACGAGGACAAGATCATGAACATCTTTGGACAGTACGTGCAGGTGAGACGCCTGCACAAATTGCATTGCAATGCTTTAGAAAGCATTTAGAGTATTGTATCGAAATTCTGTTTGCAATGCCAATGCAATGCAAGCCATGCAAACACATCTGCTTCACAGATGACAACATTCTGTTGAGGGGAGAATTGCATCCTAAGTTAGTACGACGAGCATATGTTGAAAATGTTTTAACTATTTTAGCAGATCTAATATTGAATTGAATTGATAAGCGTTTGCGTGTGGGTAAGGTGATGCTGGCGCAGTACGGCGAGCGCGGCGCGGAGGCGTGGCGCGGCAAGGACGCGGCCATGTACCTGGTGACGTCACTGGCGGCGCGCGGCAGCACGCAGGCGGCCGGCGTCACGCGCGCCTCGCCGCTCGTCGACCTGGCGCAGTTCGCCGCGCACCACGCGCTGCCCGAGCTGCAGCGCGGCAACGGTGCGTGCACACCGCCCACGTAACAGGGGGGAAAGGGATTGTTAGTAATGGACACTGAGAATCCAATTGCTAGCAATATACACAACCAGGTCCACCTCCTCGCGATTCTCCCTGGAGACTATCATGGTTAATTCCTGATGAATTCATCATGATGGGCTAACTGGCCTGTTTTCATTCTCATCTATCACCCTTCACTGGTGCTCCCCCAGCGTATTACGTTAGCGCAGGCGGAGTTATCATACTATTTTCACCCATCAAAAAAACCCACGTAACACGAAAGAAAGGGATTTTTAATAATGGGCTCAAATAGCCCCATTACTAGCAATATTCCCTATCAGGTCCACCTCCACGCGGTTCCTGGAAACCATCGTGGCTAATTCTAGTTGAATTCGTCAGGATGGGCTAACTGACCTGCTTTCGTCTTCATCAGTCATCAATCACTGGTGCCCCGCCAGTGTATACCGATAGCGCAAACGGGGTTACCGTACCATTATCACCCATTAAAAAAAGACCCACGTAACACTCGGTGCCGTGACCAACAAACTCACGCGTTACTGCTTTTTTTTAATGGATGACAATGAAATGGTAACCTGCCTACGCTATCTGTATACCTGTGTATACAGATAGCGGCACAGGCGGGGCACCATTTGAGGCTGAATAGGTGAGGATGAAACAGGTCAGTTAGCCCATCATGACGAATTTACCAATTATGATGGTTTTCAGGGGGAACCATGTGGAGGTCGACCTGATAGGGGATATTGCTAGTAATGAGACTACTAATCCTTATTATTTACAAACCCGTCTCCCTCTTGGGGAAAGACTATTAATAATGAAGATTAAGGGCCCATTGCTAGCAATATACCCAACAAGGTCTACCTCCACATGCTTCTCCCTGGAAACCGTCGTACTAAATTCCATGTGTATTTATCACAATAGGTTTTTTTTTAATGGGTGAAAGTGGAATGATAACCCCGCCTGCGCTAACGGGATACGCTGGCGGAGCACCAGTGAAAGGTGATAGATGAGAATGAAAACAGGCCAGTTAGCTCATCATGATGAATTCATCATGAATTAACCATGATAGTTTCCAGGGGGAACCGCGAGGAGGTCGACCTGGTTGGGTATATTGCTAGTAATGGGATTCTCAGTGTCCATTACTAACAATCCCTTTCCCCCCATCACGATAGGTTAACTGACCTGTTTTTTCATCCTCGCTTATCCTCCCTTACTGGTGTCCCACTAATGTATACCGAGAGCACAGGTGGGATTACCATTCCCGTCGTCACTTATTAAAAACAAAAGATCGTCACATGACATCGCTGACACCAATGTATGCGGATTGCATATAAATTCGAAAGTTTGAATAGATCGATATTTGTTACTGCATTATTGTACTATGACCTACCTTCATTCAAAGCTACCTTCATTTGGGTTGCCTGCGAGACTGTGCATTTGGGTCGCCAGTTTTCTCAAGGAACGTAGCATTAAGGTCGTAGTCGACGGTGCATGCTCTGATTTAAAACCTTTGAATGCTGGTGTCCCGCAAGGCTGTGTACTATCTCCGACTCTGTTTCTTCTGCATATCAATGATATGTTACAGATAAGTAATATTCATTGCTATGCGGACGACAGTACAGGAGATACATTATATACCGGTCATGCAAAGATCTCGCGGGCACATACCGATGAGTGCCGGAATAGACTTGTGTCTGAAATCGAAACTTCACTCCATCAAGTTTCGATCTGGGGTGAACAAAATCTTGTCCAATTTAACCCCAAAAAGACACAAGTCTGCGCGTTTACCGCAAAAAAGACGCCGTTTGTCGTATCTCCTCACTTTCAGGGCACTTCCCTTGATAAAAAGTCAAGTCTAGGAATTCTGGGCGTTGATATATCTTGCGACGTCCAGTTTTGCGGTCATCTGGAGGAGAAGGCTAAGATAGCTTCTAAAAAGTTAGGAGTGCTCAATAGGGTGAGACGATATTTCATGCCAGAACACCGCCTGAAATTATATAAAGCCCAAGTCAGGCCGCATATGGAATACTGTTCTCACCTGTGGGCAGGAGCGCCACAGTACCAACTCCTTCCGTTAGACCGCATTCAAAGTCGGGCGGCTCGAATTATCGATAGTCAACGCCTTACTGTCCGACTTGACCCATTGAAACTGCGCAGAGATGTTGCGTCTCTGTGCATCTTCTACCGAATTTATCATGGGGAATGTTCTGAGGAATTGTTCGGATTGATACCTGCTGCTGATTTTCACCACCGTACAACCCGCCACAAACTAAAGTTTCATCCCAATCATCTGGACGAGTGGCGGTCTTCCACCGTGCGTTTTTCAAGGCACTTTCTTCCACGCACAACCATTCTTTGGAATCAACTTCCAGCAGCAGTATTTCCGAACCGATACGACAACATAACCTTCAAGAAAAGAGTATATTCCTTTTTAAAAGGCCGGCAGCACACCTGCAATGCCGCTGGTGTTGTGGGTGATCATGGGCGGCGGTAGTCACTTACCATCAGGTGAGCCGCATGCTCGTTTGCCCCCTGTGTTGTAAAAAAAAAAAAAAAAACCCACAATTGTTATTAATCGACAATAGCGATCTTATTGCATTTTTTTATTTTCTAGTTTGTACCCCATTTAATTTTTTTTTTCCAACCAAGTTTTGTAAGAACTGTAAAAAACTACATTCATTTGTTCACAGTGAACGAATTGCCAGTGCTAAAAGCGGATGCAATCAAGTACATAATGACATTCCGATCGCTTCTGCCCAAGGATCTAATCATCAGTTCAGTACCATTATTGGTGAGTTATATTTTTCAAATATTAGTTTGCCTGATAGATTACTAGACACTATTGTTTCCTCCAAAAGATTACAGTAGTAAATTTATTATAGATACAAATGTTTTTTATGCAACTTAGAATGGCAAACAAGCTGACGGCCCACCTGATGGAAAGTGGTAACCGTCGCCTATAGACATGAGCAGTACCATGGACATAACAGAGTATACTGTTTTGCTCTTGATACCTCCCATATGTTGCCATTCATGGGATTTAAAGTGTTATGCCTGTAAATTCACTATCAAGAACTGTAAATTTACAATCACAATAAGTTTATTGTCATTTTATTTTGATTAACCAGAGGGAGACTTTGTATAAAAGTCGATTGCTTGAGTATCTTTGTCCCATTCGTGTTTCAACTGTGAAGCAGTTGTGTTTGCATGACTGTGTTTTGGTTTGAAGGGTGGGATATGGCGTGAATTTACTGGGTACAGAGGAATAACACTTGAGTCCTCAGGAATGGCAACGCATGGGGGGTATCATGGGCGAAACAGTATACTCTGTTATGTCCATGGTACTGCTCATGTGTATAGGCGACGGTTACCACTTTCCATCAGGTGGGCCGTCAGCTTGTTTGCCATTCATGTAGTGGCAGTGATGTAAAGTGTGGTGGCGCGCGCAGGTGTCGCACGTGGGCGCGGGCGGCGTGGTGGGCACGTACGCGGCGTGCTGCGCGGAGAAGCTGGTGGCGGGCGGCCTGCTGCCCGCCGCCGGCCTGGCGCCGCACGCGCGCCCGCTGCTGGCCGCGCTGCTGGCCGCGCTCGGCGACGGCCGCGACCCCGCCACGCACAACGAGTACGTCATGAAAGGTCAGCGGCACACCTAGCCACTTCCACTACGCCCAGGACTCGCCTCCGGCTGCATATTTTTGGTCACCGAAAATCGGCCACAAGTATCTAACTTACACTGACTAGGGGGGAAGGGATCGTTAATAATGCAGACTCCCATTACTAGAAATATACGCTGTTAGATCGACCTCCACGTGTCTCCGCCTGAAATCCGTCGTGCTGAGTTCTAAGTGTATTTTTTTTTTGTTGGATGAAAATTAATTGGTAACCCCGCCCGCGCTGACGAGATACGCTGGCGGAGCACCAGTGAAGGGTGGTCGATGAGAATGAAAACAGGCCAGTTAGCCTATCATTTTAAATTCATCATGAAGAATTAATCATGATAATTTCCAGGGGACCACGCGAGGAAGTCGACCTGGTTAGGTATATTGCTAGCAATAGGATTTTTAGTCTCCATTACTAACAATCCCTTTCCCCCCTGTTCTAAGCGTATTCATCACAATGCTCTACCTGACTTATCTTTTCATTCGCATTAAACATCCCTCATTAGTGCCCCGCCAGCGTATACCGTTAGCGCAGGTGGGATTACCATTCCATTTCTGCTGACTTTACGCTGAACTTGGATGTACTTTCAAATTGGTCCCATAGAAATATCATTAAAATCGTTAAATATAAAAAGTGTTTTTTTTTTTTTAATAAAGTCACTGATTTTGTCACAATTAATGTTGGTTTTTTTTTTGTAGAGCAGACTTTACTTGTATGGATTATTTTTCAATACCAAAACAGCCTAAACTGGTTTTTTTTTGTAACATGTTATTCTACAGTAAATTCTTAAATTATAGGATACAGAGTTCCTATGAAAAGAATAAGTGCAATGGCAGACTTGTCCCATAAAAGGGATATCTTCTTATCAATCTTTGAGTGATAAAAATTTTGAAAGAGACAAAAAAAAGTAATAATAGCTGATTAAAAATAAATAGAAATACACTGGACAACATAATACATCTAAACGATACCTAATACATCTAAACGATACCTAATACATCTAAAAGGATTATATCTCTATACATAACACTTCTAATATTCTAAATAAAGAAATACATAAATCTTTTTTTTTTGTCATTTGTCTTTTTTTAATAACAATATTATTATATTGGCAGCGATTCTACGCACACTGTCGTGCCTACAAGAGGCGGCCCTGGAATACTTGGGCGAGGCGTTGCCCAAACTGGCGCAAATGTTGGCCATAGTCGCCAAGAACCCGTGCAAGCCTCACTTCAACCACTATCTCTTCGAGACGTTGTCGTTGTCAGTTATGTAAGTAATAATTTATACTGACCCTACTATTCTCCCGGCTATACTATGATCTTGCATCTACTATGATAACTTCCATCCATAATTTATTTTGTACAGCATTTTTAACACTTAATTTTTTCACGTCATCTAATATAATTACTATTTCACTTATTATTATTGTAAATCAGTACATACAATGTATCCTAAGTTTATGTTAAGTTTATACATAGTAGATATATTTGGAAAAAAATATTCAAATCTGGTCAGCTGTTTAAATGTCATTAAGAAACATACTTACATTTTTATATAATGTATATATATTAGTAGGATTAACCGTGTAGATTCCGGCATAGAATAGGCCACCTCCTTCTTTCCCATGGGTGTCGTAGGAGGTGTCTAAGGGAACACAATGGTCGAGGGATAGGCAGCAGCGTCCCTTTTTAAACATCTCCAAAAATCTGACTTTGGTTACCAATCCACCTGCCTATATATATATATATACACACAATTACAAAATTTGTCTAACCAGTGTTACAAAACAAATTCTTTAATTTGTAATTGTCAGAACAAGGTTCGTAAAAAAGAAAATGTTTATAAAATTGTATGGAAATTTTAGGTTAAAAAAATTCAATAAAAAATATAAGTCAGGGCAAGATGCTAGTTTTGTACAAAAAGACGTGTTTAAATAGCTTATTATTTATATTAATTTGCAATAGAAAGAAATATTATATTTTTAATTTGTTCACAGGTTAGTAACAAAAACAAATCCAAATGCAATATCAGCATTCGAAGATGCACTGTTCCCTATATTCCAAGAGATACTCCAAAATGATGTTCAAGGTATTTAATTTATATTATTTACAATAGATATGACATAGAAACCTATCGCCATCGACAGGGAATTTATTCTCACATGCTTAAACCTAAATAGTGACATACACAGTCACAGTACAGTTTCAAAAGAATTTTTTGCCACATATGTTCCCTAGAAACTACAGTAACGGGTCTTTCAATAAAGGTATATTAAGGTTTCTTTAGGGGTGGCGATGCGCACGTGACACTACTAATCTTACAGGAGTCCAAAGGCTACAGTAACCGTTTACCATCAGACGGGCTATAATTTTTTTTTATACAACTTAGAATGGCAAATAAGCTGACGGCCCACCTGATGGAAAGTGGTAACCGTCGCCTATAGACATGAGCAGTACCATGGACTGTAAATTCACGCCATATCCCACCCTTCAAACTGAAACACAGCCATGCAAACACAACTGCTTCACGGTAGAAACACGAATGGGACAGAGGTACCTAAGCAATCGACTTTTGTACAAAATCTCTCTGTGTATGATAATGAAATAGTAACGCCGCCTGCGCTAACGGTATACGCTGGCGGGGCACCAGTGAGGGTTGATAGGTGAGAATGAAAAGACAGATCAGTTAGCCCATCGTGATAAATACATCTGGAATTCAGCACGATGGTTATCAGGGGAAACCACGTGGAGGTCGACCTGACAGGGTATATTACTAGCAATGGAACTGATAGTCCGCATTAATCCCTTCCCTCCTGTGTATGAATATTAGCTAATATACGGCCTCATCACCGGCAGAGTTCATGCCGTACGTGTTCCAAATGCTGTCGCTGCTGCTGGAACTGCGTGGCGCGAGTAACGGCGGTGGCGGCGGCTCGGCTGGCGACCCGTACTGCGCGCTGCTGCCGTGCCTGGTGGCGCCGGCGCTGTGGCAGCGGCCCGCCAACGTGCGGCCGCTGGTGCGACTCCTCTGCGCCTTCATCGCCGCGCGGCCCGACGCCGTGCTGCAGTCAGGCAGACTGGTACCTTATTTCTTCCACTCCTATTCGTACCTTCCACTCGCCGTACAGTCTATAGAATGTGCCAATCCTACCTTTCCCGTGGATATCGTAAGAGGCGACTAAAAGAATGAAAAGCAGTGTCTCTGTTGAAACATTACCAAAGCCTAATAGCGATTGCCAACCCACCTGCCAAGCATGGCAAGTATTATTCCGCCAATGGATTCGCTTACCACTCATCTAGAGGGCCAGGCCAATTTATGAAATGAGCTTTTCTGAATTAACTCGGGTGTGGGTTTTGCCTTCAGGTGTTCCTCATAACTCAGTGGCACTAGAGTGCCCTAGCTTGTGATACTAATGTCTGTGTGGCACTAGAGTGGCCTAGCTTGTACTAGTGATTGAGTGCCACTAGAGTGCCTTAGCTTATGATGCTAGTGATTGAATGACACTAGAGTGGCCTAGCTTATGATACTAGTGATTGAGTGGCATTAGCGTGCCCTACCTTGTGATACTAGTGATTGTGTGCCCTAGTGTAAGGTACTAGTGATTGTGTAGTTCTAGAGTGCCCTAGCTTGAGGTACTAGTGATTGGTGTGATTGTGTGGCACTAGAGTGCCGTAGCTTGAGGTACTTAATAATTGATGTGATCGTGTGGCACTAGAGTGCCCTAGCTTGAGGTACTAGTGATTAGTGTACTTGCATGACACTAGAGTGTCCTAGCTTGAGGTACTAATAATTGATGTGATCATGTGGCACTAGAGTGCCCTAGCTTGAGGTACTAGTGATTGGTGTGATTGTGTGGCACTAGAGTGCCCTAGCTTGAGGTACTAATAATTGATGTGATCGTGTGGCACTAAAGTGCCCTAGCTTGAGGTACTAGTGATTAGTGTGATTGTGTGGCACTGATTATCTCTTATTCTAAGAAGATTCTATTCTACTCTGTAGCCAAGTAACTTAATATATATTAGTAAAAAAAGGGTTTATTTAAAAATTTTCGTCTTATTATTATATTCTGGCCCTGAATTACTTCTCATTATATCTTAATGCTAAAAAATACTATATTGATAGTTTTTTGTTTTGCAGAATGCCATGCTAGGTGTATTCCAAAAACTGATCGCCTCGAAAACAAACGACCACGAAGGCTTCTATCTTATACAGACGATGTTCTACAAATTTAGAGAGTGAGTATCGTATACAGCTATAAAATTGTTTTTATTTCTAATCCCCTTTATAAACAGTAGGTTATTATGGTGGCCATATTTTTTATGTTTTAACTACTTTTTTGCTCGCTACTTCGTAAATTTAAATATCAGAAATAGGAGATTACTTCTAGTCGGTATATAAACATGAAACACATCATACATTTCCATGTAAACATTTTTTTTAATGCAACTTAGAATGGTAAACAATCTGACGGCCCTTGATATGGATAACACTTGATATGGAAAGTGGTAACCGTCGCCTGTACACATGAGCAGTATATAAAAGAGAATATACTGTTTCGCTCATGATACTCCTCATGCGTTGTCATTCCTGAGGACTCTAATGATATTCCTCTGGAAGTTCACTGCCATATCCCACCCTTCAAACAGGAACACAGCCACGCAAACACAACTGCTTAACGGTAGAAACACGAATGGGACAGAGGTGCCAAGCAAACAACTTTTGTACAAAGTCTCCCTCTGGTAAATTAATTAATTCAACAAGTACACACAATAATTCTCAAAGTAGCTAACAGTAATCTCTCTCAAAATATACACAATGTTTCAGGCAAGTAATGCAGCCGTACACAAAACAAATAATGACGCTACTGTTCCAACGGCTGTCGTCCTCGAAGACTACCAAATACGTGCGCGGACTGATCGCGTTCCTCGGCTTCTACGCGGCGCATTTTGGCGCTGATACGCTGATAGATATTATAGAATCCGTTCAAACCAAGTAAGTAATCGCATTATTGAATTATCTATAAATAATTATAGCTATGGCCGTGTTGTCCCGGCCATAGTATAGCCCACCTCTTCCTTTCCCGTGGGTATAGTAAGAGGCGACTAAGGGATAGAATGAATGATAAAGAAATGGTAACCCCGCTGGCGCTAATGGAATATGCTGGCGGGGCACCAGTGAGGGATGATAGGTGAGGATAAAAAATCAGGTCAGTTAGCCCATCGTGATGAATATATCTGAAATTCAGCACGATGGTTTCCAGGGGGAACCGCGTGGAGGTCGACCTGACAGGGTATATTACTAGCAATAGGACTGGTAGTCTGCATTACTAACAATCCCTTCCCCCCTGGCGACTAAGGGATGGCAAGGAATTGGCAGCAGCATTCCTCTTAAAAAATTTCTAAAGCCTAACTGCGATTGCCAACCCGCATACCAAGTGTGGCAACTACTGGCAAAACTCTGGCTGGAAGGCTTATGTTCAGCAGTGGACAGTTAATAGCTGGTATGATGATGATGATGAGTTATAGCTAGTTTTACAAACTTTTTTAGCTAATGAAATCTTTGATTTTTTATGCTTCTTCTTAATTTAAAGGAAATGACAAATACCCTAATAATATAAATATTTAATAATATTTAGAAATCCCTGAAACAGATTGTTCGGTGGCCTGTGAAATTCCCAGGAAGCTTCTGTGCTTCTAGGCGAAACTGGACTGGCTATACTAGCCACGACTCATACGCATAACAGCCCAAATGAGAAGCTAAGCGCTGAAAATAGAGTCCAATTTACATTACATTTACTCTAATAAAAATTAATTGAAACATATGTGTATGCTTCATATAAATAATTTATGTCTTTTATTAAAAATTATTCTTTAATTACCACTATTACAAATATTTCTTATAATAAATAATGGATGTTTGTCCATTCGTTGAGCAGCATGTTCGGTATGTACCTGGAGCGGATCCTGATCGCGGACCTGCAGAAGGTGACGGGCGCGCTGGAACGCAAGGCGGCCGCCGTCGGCTGCGTGAAGCTGCTCACGAGCTCGCAGCGCCTTAGGCAGCCGCCTCTCGCCGCGCTCTGGCCGCGGCTGCTGCAGGTCAGTTGGCAGTCTTTAGTCTTTTTTTTTTATACAACTTAGAATGGCAAACAAGCTGACGGTGGGCCGTGGGCCTGATGGAAAGTAGTAACCGTCGCCTATAGACATGAACAGTACCATGGACATAACAGTACACACACATACTGTTTCGCCCATGATACCCCCATGCGTTGCCATTCCTGAAGACTCAGGTGTTATTCCTCTGTACCCTGTAAATTCACGCCATATCCCACACCTTCAAACCGAAACACAGCCATGCAAACACAACTGCTTCACGGCTGAAACACGAATGGCACAGAGGTACACAAGCAATCGACTTTTGTACAAAGTCTCCCTCTGGTACAGCCCACAGGAGGGAAGGAATTGTTAGTTTTTTTTTTCTTTTTAAAGGCGGGTACACACACCTGCAATAACATTCGTGTTGTAGGTGATCACGGGCGGCGGTAGTCACTTAGCATCAGGTGAGCCGCATGCTCGTTTGCCCCCCGTGCTGTAAAAAAAAGGAATATATATTTATAATCAAATTCGTCACAGTAGGCTAACTAACCTGCCTTTTCACCTTCACCAATCATCCCTCACTGGTGCCCCGCCAGCGTTCACCAGTAGCGCAGGCGGGGTTACTATTTCTATCTCGTCTATTAAAAAAAGATTGAAGTTTTCTTCGTTTATAATTGTTCCTTCTTCAGATACGTATAAATCCTAATGTAACTGTTAACAGGCGCTGATCTCTTTGTTCGAGCTTCCTCCGGACGAGTCGTCGCTGCCGGACGACCACTTCATCGAGGTGGACGACGCGCCCGGCTACCAGGCGCAGTACGCACAGCTGGCCTGCGCCCGCGGCGCCGCCAGCGACCCGCTCGCCAGTCAGTACATGCTTTTTTTTATTTTCTTTTAACAGCTACTTAGGTTTTTTTTATATCGAGAGCAAACGAGCATATATCTTTCGCCAGCGGAAAAGTATATGAGAAAAAGCTCGTATAAATCGTCTATCAAAATATTTGAATATATATATATATATATATATATATATATATATATATATATATATATATATATATATATATATATATATATATATATATTTATTTATTTATTTATTTTATATAACTTAGAATAGCAAACAAGTTGACGGCCCACCTGATGGAAAGTGACATATATACACCTATAGACATGAGCAGTACTATGGACATAACAGAGTATACTGTTTCGCCCATGATACACCTCATGCGTTGCCATTCCTGGGGACTCAGGTGTTATAGAAAATACACAATTAATTAACACAAAAACGAAGTACATGTTTGTAGTAGTAATATGTATTTATGTATCCTCATTTGTTACGAAAGGTATCGAGGACCCGAAGCGCTACCTGGCGGAGAGTCTGGGCAACATGTCGCGGACCGCAGCAGGTGAACTGCCGCCGCGACTGGCGGCGCTCGACGAGCCGCACCGCGCCGCACTACACGCCTACCTCGCCGCCTACAGCGTGCAGATATGCTGACCTAACTGCACCACACCTAACGACTTGTAGGAGGATCCTTAATTATAAGAAGGGATTGATGAAATCTCATAAAATTTTATCTATAGGCAAGGGGAGATAATAAATATTTCACATTAACTTTTTACCCAAACCATATTATTCTGGGCTGGCACAAGCAACTCCTCTCGTGTTGCTGGTGTTCATTGGCGGTGGTAGCCACTTTACATCAGGTAAACCGTCTGCTCGTTTGCTTCCCTAACAGTAAAAAAAAAATTAAATTCTCTTCAATTTTATATAAAAACAAAAATGTACAAAAGACGTCAGTATTGAAGTGTAGTAGGACGAAACATAATTAAAAATTGTGTCCCACAAAAAAGTCGATTTTAATATAGACATAACCAGTTATTTGTATTTCAAAGCTAAACTACTAAAGTGATTTCGATAAAATAGTAAATAGGACGAATCTGTAAGTATATCCTTACAGATAAAAAAAGAATATTCCAAATTTGTTTAAAACTGACATAGTTATGAGGTAACAAACATAAAAAAACAAACACTACAAATAAAAAGAAATGAGACCTTATTTCTATTTTAAAGTCGATTGAAAATACGTCAAAGTAAGCTAAATTATTTTAAATCTCATTTGGGTCTCACCAAATCTTACTAAGTAAAACGAAAATGCAAAATTGAAAAAAAAAACACATTACGTAATAAATGTTTTTTCCTCTTAAGTAATTTTGTAAAACGACAGTGTATTAATATTTATTTATGTAACACATTAAGTGACTTTATAATCTTAGAAATTCCAAAAATTAACTTGAATTTGACTGTACAAATTTGAAAATATCTTAACACTATATCCTGTTGTAAGATTAAATATAATGATGTTCATTGACCACTCCGAAATTTTGCAGACAGTATGTCTGAATTACTTTTGTTACGCTCTTGTCAATAAAGTATGATATTGTCGCTGATGTAGTCGCAAATAAGGCCTCTATAGATGATCAAGCTGTATCAAGCATTCATTTATTGCCATTTTATAAGGTAAAGAAGGTATGGCTAAGTGGCAATAGATACGCGCTGACTTAAAATTTTAGATCGTCTATGGAGTCCATTACCTGATTTTTATACATTACTAATAGCTATTTTTTATAATTCTGAGAGGACTTCAATTTCTTAATATCTAATATAATGTAGTAATACTTTTCTATTAATATGAACAGGTATATAAGAGAATTAGTGTAATCAAAATAGTTCAATAATGTATGAATGTGATATTAGAATGTTACGACGCTTGGCGTCTTCTCCTTTCATTTGTAAAGAATTTTTGTATGAAACACCAAATGTGACAGTGAACCAAACTGGTTGCTGGTCGATTATTGTAATACATCTTAATATCGGGCATGGATTTAAAATAGTATGAAATTATTTTGTTTATACTGAGAGTTGTTTTCAAACAATCATCTTGAGGATTTTTTTTTATTGATGGTTTACTAGCTGCTTGATTAGACGCAGGTCGTCCTCTACTGATCGTGTGGCGTGTTACATACATATTTGTCGCGCCTGTCTCCCATTAAGTTAGGCAGAAACAATGAAACGCCAAATGATCAAAACAAACCTCTGTCGCTTCCTCCACGTTCATCAATCTTTTCATACACACTCGCCGGTTACGGGTACTTTCAATTTGGCCCTTCTTCAGTACGTTACCTATTTGTTCGACTTATGCCCGTCTTGGGCGCCCTGCTGACATCTTCATTCATTCAAGTGTAGCGTGTTCTTCACAAAAACAAATTTTGATTTAATATACCTATTAATGAATATAATGTAAATAGTATTTAGTAGTTTATTTGTAAATTTGTATTCATATTTTAAATGATTGTAACCCCATTTGAAAACATATTAGCTACCGGAGGTCTTACAAAACTAAACACTATAATTCTTCGGCGTCAACTTAATTCCGGCTTTAGCCAGAGTCCGATTTTCTACTGTTACTATTCCAGTTTGCTTGATCTTGTATATAAAACCAAATATTGCAATTTCTTTTATCAAATTTGAATCTTTAATAATGCTTTAAAAACAGCTCTCAATAAATAAAATTTCGTTGTCGTAAGGGTGTTTAAAATTTATAAATAGAACCGAGAGACTGAGTTGATGATTAAGTTTTCTTAATGTTATGTATAGTTGAATCTTTGGTTAATATCCGTGCTTAGTGCAAGTGAATTTGTGTTGTAATTAAATAAATGCTTCATTATTAAAATTCGAGTATTTTTTATTTTTAAGCCCTCAACATTTCTATCCTCAACTAACTTCTTGCCCAATACTTCCTTTGCGTGTATTACTAAAGTAAGAAAGCCAATGAAACAGATCATTTCTAAATGGAGTATCAAGATAAAACAAACCAGAAGGAGACTGTACAAAAGTCGATTGCTTGGATACCTCTGTTCCATTCGTGTTTCAACCGTGAAGCAGTTGTGTTTGCATGGCTGTGTTTCGGTTTGAAGGGCGGTATATGGCGTGAATTTACTGTGTACAGAGGAATAACACCTGATTTGGAATAAGGAATAACACATGGGGGGTATCATAGGCGAAACAGTATACTCTGTTATGTCCATGGTACTGCTCATGTCTATAGGCGACGGTTACCACTTTCCATCAGGTGGGCCGTCAGCTTGTTTGCCATTCTAAGTTGTATAAAGAAAAAAAATACCAGATTGTAAACTTTTAGGAACACTACTGAAAACCGAATCCAATTTGATGCAGTGATTTTTGTTTGGTACCGGAACAAACAAGAGGTAGATAGTTAAAATTAAGAAATAATATTCTTGCTGCTATTGCTCTTATAAAAATGCTACTCAAATTCATTTTTTCTTAAACATCTCCCATACAGACTCTCCCATTTATTCTCTCTGTTTAGCCCATTTTTTATTAACATATATAACAAAGTTGTAACTAGACCATGTCTATTTTATTTATACTTTTGCACAAATTAAAATATGTCTACAGGGCGGACATAATGCCTGATAGTATTGTTCACCATTCAACTGTTATAGTTTAAATAAAATAGTAGTATAAAGTATAAATAAAATAGACATGGTCTAGTTACAACTTTGTCATATATATTAATAAAAAATGGTCTCTATGGACGCGGAGTTGACCCTCATACCCTAAGATTTTAAAATATAGATGGTTTCGTACGGCGCGTTTTCAGAGATGTTTCCTCCCATAAAATCTCAGGTTATGGAATGAGCTCCCTGTCAAGGTTTTTGTGAAAGACTATAGCATGAGGTTCTTTAAAGGGATAAAGAGGTTTCTTCAAGATCGGCATGAGCGTAATGGCCCTACTGTTGCAGGCGTTCATAGGCTTCGGTAACCGGTTACCATCAGGTGGGTCGTATGCTTATTTACCACTTATAGTATAAAAAATCACAGTCTACTGTGATGATACCCTTCATAGTTTGCCATTCTTGAGGTATTATGCCTCCTTACCCTATAGTTTTACTGCCCTATGGCACTCTTTAAATCACATTCAATTAAATTGAAGCACAGTTAGCTCACACGGGTGGGAAGGAAAGATCTACCAATAGGTTACCATTTCTCCGAGGAAGGTTGATTTACTCGCATCACTAACTTACTTCCACACAATATTTCTAGGTATAAATAAAATAAAAAACAATAATTTTGATGTCAGAAATATATTGGAATAAGCCATTTGCAACAAATACATTTGCGAAACCCATTAAACGATGACAAAACTTTTAAACATTGAAAAATCTATTACATTGCACAACATCGCACAAGCTACGAATATAAAGGAATGTACTCTATTGCTCTACACACGTACAATTACGATATAATTATTTAAAATACAATTCGGCAGTTCCAAACGGTAAAACGATGTTAGTAATAAGCAAAGGTACGACTACCATACAGCTATAGGTGTAAGAATAAGTTTTGATTACGAAAACGTATCTACCACCACATTTATATAAAAATGGTATAATGATCACAACACTAGTAAAATAATCAAAATACAATTATTGAAATAGAAAATACATTCTACATATCATGAACAAAATTGTGATTTATTTTAAATATTAAAATCATACAGTTCGTATATAGAGAAATATAATAAAGAAATTTGTGATAAAATGGTAACAAGTCATTATCGCAGAGCCTTCGCCCATATAACGTGAAACGGAATGTCCAGTACATTAAAAAACAAATATTGAATAAGGGAAGTTTACTGTCAATTTATTTAAATAGAAACGCCATTACGTTATAACATAAACAAAGCCGCTTTAATCTGTATTTATGGGCGGAAAAATGAAATAAAAAAAAGAATTCCCGCCATTATGGTTTTTGTTTTAAATCACTATGTAGCCAAATGGCGTTACCTTCACAGAGTTTTAAGTAAACTTTCCTATTGTATTACATTGTTTCTTATTAATTAACAGGAGCAAATTAGTGGAACTAATGGACTACCTAGTTACGTGTTATATGGGCTTTATAGTCATTTAGTGACGCAGGAATATAACTGAAGCGCCTATAAACTTTTCAGTCAGCATTCACTATAAAACATTGTATTGGTCATTTCTTAATAATTCTCTTAAAACGTTCAACACTGGATACGATAGACACAAAATGAAACTGTCTATCGTTTAGGGAGGATTTGTGATGTATCTACACTAATTTAAATTAACACTTATGAAAACTAAAATGTAATTATGATATCTGATTAGCAGTTTGATTATTCTATGAGTGATGAGACAGAGAAAGCTTATAAAATGCCTCCTGTGTTGAATGCTCTAAGCATGATTTTTTAACCTTTTAACTGCCCCAGTCAGATTTGAATAAAAAAATATGTTTATTTCCTTAGCAATCCTTTCTAAATTTATATATTGTTTTTCCCATTTATCTCATGGCGTACTACATTAACGCAGTAACAGAATGGAGACAGAATATATAACAAAAGTTCTCTATATTTATATTATTTGTGGATTTGTGTCAAGTGAGTAGTTAGGGGCGCAGCAATTGCTACAAAGTCAAGCTGTCAAAAGGTTAATCAATCATTTCAATACATTATTATTCAAACCGTATAAATACACATAACCAATGTTTTGGGTACAAAACGTTAAGAGTTAGAAAATCGTCAATAATGAACCATGTTTATAGGCGAATTAGTCTCATTTCCGAGCATCACCGCGCGCGTTGGTCGTCGGAGTCAAAGAGCGGTCACTTGAGAGCGCATTCCACGAATACGAGGCGAGAGTGCGAGTCGTCGAGGGGAGCGAGCGCCGGCGAATGCGGGGGAGAGGACGACGGGGAGGGCTGCGAGTGGCCGGGGGAGGGGGAGGGCGAGGGCGAGGGGGAGGGGCAGGCAGCCGGGGACGGCGGGGACAGGGGCGGCGTCTGCGGCACGACAATGGGGCCGCCGTGCACGAAATGCGCCTCTGAAATCGGCCACAGATCCTTCAGTACGGCCCTGAAACAAAATAAAAATTATATAAAGATCACTAGACAAGGCACAATAATTTAATAAAAAGGATTTATTGGATATATCATGTAACAAATCAAGTACTGACAACAACGGACTGTGCTCAGAGGAATTATTCAATATGATGCCCAGGGGGGAAGGGATTGTTAGTAATGCGGACTACCAGTTCCATTGCTAGCAATATATCCTGTCAGGTCGACCGCCACGTGGTTCCCCCTGGAAACCATCGTGCTGAATTCTTGGCGTATTCTTCACGGTGGGCTAACTGACCTGCCTTTTCATTCTCACCTATCATCCCTCACTGGTGCCCCGCCAGCGTATACCGTTAGCGCAGGCGGGGATACCACTCCATTGTCATCCAGTAAAAAAAAAATGATGCCCATAGACATTTTCTACTATCGTTTAGCTCGTCATTGACAGGGAGTACATCCCCATACTTTAGAGACTGGGTGGTCGCGTACAGCGCGAGAAGTGTTTCTTTCCACAAACGCTCAGGTTATGAAATGAGCTCCCTGTCGAAGTTTTTCCAAAAAACTACAGCATGGGGTTCTACAAAAAATAAGACTAAAGAGGTTTTTTCAGGGTCGGCAACGCGCGCATAGTGCCCCCGGTATCGTAGACATTCATAGCCTACGTTAACCGCCTACCATCAGATGGGGCGTATGCTTGTTTGCCATCTGTGATATAAAAAATCAAGTAAATTGTGCGATGGATGAGAATGGAATACGCTAATGGAGAACCAGTTAGAGATGAAAATAGGTCAGTTAGCCCATCGTAGCGAATACCTGACAGGTTAAACTATGAATATTTGGGCTAACTATCCCATACTAAGATCTATTCTACTTTAATCAAAGGTCTGTAAGAGATCGCCCTAGCGATAAGACCGCCTTTTGTACCTTTATGTGTATATTTCAATCTGTATTTATGTTACTGTATTACACTTGATATATTTTTGTTTATGGTGCAATAAAGAGTTAAATAAATAAAAGTTCCTTTTCTCCCCGGATAGATATATATATATATATATATATATATATATATATATATATATATATATATTTGATGGGTGAAAATGGTATGGTAGCCCCGCCTGCGCTAACGGGAGGGGATGATAGATGAAAATGAAAACAGCCCAGTTAGCCCATCATGATGAATTCATCAGGAATTAACCATGATAGTTTCCAGGGGGAACCACGAGGAGGTGGACCTGGTTGGGTATATTGCTAGCAATGGGATTCTCAGTCTCCACTACTAACAATCCCTTTCCCCCCCGGATAGATATATTAGGTAGTAGATCGTAGTGTGCACTGTATGCGGTGGGCACTGACCAGAGCGCGGCGTCGATGACGGTGAGGACGCGGGGCACGGGGAAGCCGTTGAAGGGCGAGGCGACGGGCAGCGTGTAGGCGCCCATGTCGCGCCACAGCAGCCAGGCGCCGGGCGCCAGCGGCGGCAGCAGCGAGCTCGGCAGCACGCAGTCCAGCCCGTCGCAGCTCGGGCCCCACACCGAGCACGGCCGCGGCGCCGCCGTGCTCGGCTGCACACCACACCACCACCTTGCGTTACGCCACGCACTACCACATTGCTATTGCACGCCTTCGTAGGCTACGGTAACCCCTTACTATCAGGTGGGCCCTATCCTTGTTTGCCACTTCAGTGTTATAAAAAAATGACTATCACTTCAGTCAGAATTCACTACCTACTATATCCATAGGTACTGTATACATATAGTGGATTCTGTTTGAAATTCAAAATCAAACTTCAAATTTCAAAAAATTAAAAAAACCTTAGGCGATAGGATTGTGTTTTGTTGTGTGTGCATTTTTTACTCTTTTGAGAGCGAAACAATAAACCGAGTTATGATTATTTTGTATTGTCATGGCACACGCACAAAAGAAAATGTACTTGGCTTTATGTATTTTTTTAATCATTTATGTATTTTTTTTAAATCATTTCTCTTATCTCGCCTTTTTATGTATATCTATATATGTATGTTATAATTTGTGTGCTGTAAGTAATGCAAATAAATTATCTATGTATTATATACGTAAGCCTCCCCCATAAGGAAGGTTATGCCAGTAGTTGCTATATTTAGCAAACGGTTCGGTAACCGCATTTGAACTTTTGGTGATGTTTTAAGAGGGATATTCCTGCCAATCCCTCGACCATACGACACCCACGAAAAAGGAAGAGGCGAGGGGCACCCCTTCCTACTGGCATAACTCCCCCCATAATAGGGGAAGGTCTATATTCAGCAATGAACAGTTGACGGCTGATATGATGTCCATGATGATAAGTTTACTACTGTAAACTTTTGAAGGAAACAATGAAGGGTACATCTATCTATATATGTAATACTCACAACAAGCGGCTCGGCGACGACCTGCTGGTGGTCGTACAGTACGCAGTTGAACGAGCCGTACACGCCGTCGTTCACGAAGTACATCGTGTGCGTCTCGTCCTGGTCCGCGCCGTCCTTCGACGCCACCTGCCGGACACAATAGTCATGAAAACACATTCCCCATAAGGTATAGGGCACAAAAGACGTTTCAATGAAATGATGTCATTCTCTGTTCAGTGACATTTTGGGAAAAAAATCGCATCACATGTCTAAATAAAATTTACATTAGATATATAATCCATAGAAACGTAATATGTTTTAGATGCTGCTTTATATAATGCTGTATGCTATATATGTACATAAATAATGTAATATGAGTATTACATGTATGTTAATTTTGAATAACTTTTAATTTAATATTATTCATTACGTTGCACGGTCAATTATATATTCTGTTATTCCTATCTACGATCGACTGGTAGATAAGTCCATATGGGTGTTAAGTCCGCCATTTGCACCTTCTAAGTTTATTAAAGTTAAATAAAAAAAATTTAAGAATGTATTCCACAAAAAAACTGATTGATATATGACAAAACCAATGATTTTGATTTAAAATATTTTTTTATACCACTGAGGTGGCAAACAAGCATACAGCCCACCTGATGGTAAGTGGATATGTAGCCTATGAACACCTGCAATACCAGAGGAATAACGTTGCCGACCCTGAAGTCCGTTTTGAAGAACCCCATGCTGTAGTCTTTTCGGAAAACCTCGGCAGGGAGCTCATTGCACAACCCGAGTGTTCGTGGGAGGAAACATCACTTCTGATCCGATTTTAATAAAATTTCTATGGGAGAGACCTATAAGTATATTCTTTCATATTGGTCACGCCACTTCGATTGTACCTTTTTTTTTTAATGTCTATAGCAGACCCGACCTCGTGGGAGGTGAACCACTTTCCATCTCGGCCGTCAAAGGTGGGAGTGTACCCACCAAAAATCAGACGATATACCCTCGAGGTGCCATATGTCGGAGACACGGGTTCGATTTCGCACTCACCACATCTTCGACGGCAGCGACCCGCCGCCCCCTGATAGTAAGAGCAGGTCTCCTCTCTCAAGATAGGGTGGATGGCGTGCTCACCCTACCACTCGGGGGATGCGCCGGTATATTAGCACATCCCCCAGGGCTACGATTGTACCTGGGTTCATCTATTTTATTATGCTCTGTGGGCAAGTAACGCACCAAAAACGCCACAAAAAAATATATTTCCAAATCGGTTTATAATTGATGAAGTCATGATGCCCTTGATACTGATTTTACGACTTAAGTAGTCATACACACTTACTAAGCATATACGCAAATAACTAATATAATAAATAAATCTAAGTAACCATTGACATGCTTCTATTATGCTATAAGGGCAGAAGGATGATGGTGGAGCACAAAAATGTGATGGTACAGACCTCTCGCTTAGCGTGCACCATAGTGGCGAGCGTGTAGGCGGCGGCAGCGAAGTAGCGGCCTGGTTCAGCGATCACCTGCACCGAACGCTCCGGGAAATGGGTTTCCAGAGCGTTGTTGATCACCTGCGCCACCTGGCGACAGCACACATCACACAAGTTAGAAAAAAGGGAGAAATCATTTTTATTGAAGTAAAATTTTAGCATTTCTGAATAGTAATTTTTTTCTATGATTCTATCACTACATTTGAAATGCAATTTCAACTTAGAAGAATGGGTAAGAAAATCAGCTGTTGCTTTTTCAAAAAGTCCAATTATTAAATTATTAATTTGTAATTTTTTTTTATGCAACTTACAATGTCAAATAAGCTGACGGTCTACCTGATGAAAAGTAGTAATCGTCGCCTATAGACATGAACAGTACCATGGACATAACAGAGTATACTGTTTCGCCCATGATACCCCCCATGCGTTGCCATTCCTGAGGACTCAGATGTTATTCCTCTGTACCCTGTAAATTCACGCCATTATCCCACCCTTCAAACGGAAACACAGCCATGCAAACACAACTATTTCACGGTAGAAACACGAATGGGACAGTGTTGCCCAAGCAAACGACTTTTGTACAAAGTCTCCCTCTAGTAATATAATAGAATAACTAACAAACAATATCAGATTGTGAAGTTTAGCATATGATTAACACAAATTAATAATTATTTTATTAATTTATATATAAGACACAGTAACCAGAGCAGATTAATCCCTACAGGCAGCAATCGTCGACGAGTATGACAGATGTCATACTCGTCTCTCATCTGAGAACAATGTTCTACTCCCCCTTTATACTAGGAAGTCCTGGTTATGGATATACGTACATGAGCGAGGCAGGAGTGCGAGCCGCCAGCGAAGCCCCCACCGAGGTCGAGCAGGCGCATGCGGTGGCCGGCTCGCGCCGCCGACGTAAACAGCGCCCGCGCCCACTGTATCCCGCGAGCGTACACTTCCGTTTCCGCTGCGCCGGAGCCCACGTGGAACGACACGCCCACCACCTACCGGCACACGGGGGAAACTTCAATATTTATAATTGGGGAAACACTCTCAGTTTTATAAGTATGACCTTTTTTACAAATGCAACGAAACTATAAAAGATGACCTTTTTTACAAATGCAACGAAACTATAAAAGATGACCTAATTACAATGTCTGGCTAACAGAGGTGAGTAAAATAGAAATACATATGGGATAATCTGGAAGAATCCAAATTAATAATAATAAAGACAACCTGATACTGGGCTGGTGGCTCTATGTGGTCCCTCCTGGAAATCATCGAATTCCGGGTATATTTATCATGGCTAACTGACCTGTTTTTTCATTCTCACCTATCATCCCTTAACTGGTGCCCCGCCAGCTGTATTACTATAGGCGGGAATACCATTCCATTATAATCTATTAAAAAAAAGGGGGGAAAGGGATTGTTAGCAATGGAGTTTGACAGCCCCATTGCTAGCAATATGCCTTATTAGGTCGACCTCCACGTGGTTCCCCCTGGAAACCATCGTGAATAATTCTTGTTGAATTCGTCACGATGGGCTAACTGACCTACTTCATCCTCATCTATCATCCTTCACTGGTGCTCCGCCGGTGTATACCGATAGCGCGGGTGGTGCTACCATTCCATTATCATCCATTAAAAAAAAAAACTATTAAAAAATACTAAACAATGTATCTAGTAAAAAAACTATTTATAGCATTATAAAAGATTGTATATTAGATAAAAAAAAAAAATATTGTATTTTCACTTTCATGTCCGAAACATGGGGTACAGCCTTGCTGTTACCACGCCCCCGGCCCTGAACTCTCTAACTATACGACTTCCGCGATTTAGTGCTGTTTAAAATTTTAAATTACTGAAACTAATGTAAAGAATGATATTTCCGGGTGCATACCTCTAACCCCAAGACCGCAGCGAGCTTGAGCAGGCGCGGCGCCTCCGAGACCGGGTCGCAGCCGAACTTGATGCCGAGCGGGCACTGCGCCACCGCCGCGTCGCAGCGGATGCGGATCACCAGCCTGTGGAACGGGCACCGTGTTACAACACTAGTGACGCTACCGAATAACGGTGGAGATCGCGCCCCCTGATGTTATATTTCTTGGCTCCCTATATGAAAGCTTATATTTTTTACATTTTTGGTATATTTAGTAAACAATATCGGCATTGTCTCTTTATTGTTATTAATATATAATCAATTAAGATGAAAATCCTTTTATTCTAGTTGTTAACATATACACTGATATTTATATAGTATAAAAAAATTTAATAAAAAAATATAATTTATATCAAATAGTCGTAATCTTATATATAAAAATCCCGTATCACAGTTTTCATTCACGCTGATCACCAAAACTGGTTAAACCATTTTAATAAAATTTTGTAAATGTGTATTGTTCCAAAGAAATAAGATTTTTTTTATATCCTGATAAAAAACAATTGATGCCGCACACGGCGGTAGGGGGCAAAACTACGTTCGTCGATCAGCAAGTTGTTTATAAAATGCGTTACAATTGTATACCTTACTAATATTACAATAAAGCATAGAACACTCACTGCGCATGCGGCATGTGCTGCTTGATCTTCAACAGCTCGATCTCGGAGTCGAAGGTCATCAAGTCCACGCCCACGGCCGCCGAGTAGCGGATATGCGACGCCATCTTTGCTGGATTCGCGAATATTATGCGGCTGGGGGTATAACGCGATTTGTTATTGACATATTTGATTATCAACCTTATGTTCATTGCATTAAAGAATATCTGTGAAATTTATTTCAAGTTAACTGGCCTAGTAGTTGATGGAAAATCCTTGGCGAAATTTAAATATGGCGTTAGCCTATTTGTAATAATAATAATTCAGTACATTTCACACAACACCATCTAGTCCCGGTCACGTGAACGAAGTTACGGGTAAAAACTAGTGAATATATTCCGGTCTATGGTTGGCTGGTAAATAACACCATATGGTGTTAAATCCGCCTTTTACACTATCTAGGTGTATTAAAGTTCAATTAATAAATAAATGTAATAATTGGGACTCACTCAGGCTTGACCCCCAGAGAGGTGATGAGTTGTATCTCAGCTTTGGACGCACAATCGAACCCAGCACCGAGCGCAGCCAGCGTCGACACCAGCACCTTGTCGTCGTTGCATTTTACCGCTGCAACAAGCATTGAACATTAAAAACTAACTCAATTCTTGTGCTTGTCTGCCATTACACATGCAATAAAAAAATATTAAGCAATATGGGTGGGATATTGTCGTGCGGATCCGGCATAGAATAGGCCATCCCGTCCTTTCCCCTGGGTATCGTAAACAGCGACTAAAACATCTCTTAAAACATTTCACATTAATCAAGCTCTTAAAACATCACCAAAGCCTAATATCGGTTGCCATCTAGCCTACCAAGCGTGGCAACTACTAGCAACTGTTTGCATGGCCGTGTTATGGTTGGAAGGGGAAGGCATAGCACCGTAGGTCTCAGGAATAGGAACGCTTGAAAAATATCATGGGCGACGCCGTGTACTCTGACATATCTTTGGTCATGTCTATAGGTAACAGTTGCCACTTTTCATCAGGTAAGCCGATGGCCTATTTGCCATTCAAGTTCCACAAAAAAATATACAAAAACATCTTACCATAGAACGGTTCAACGCGCGGCATCAGCTCCTTCCAACGATGGTATCTGTTGACCACCTCCCCCAGGTTCATCACGTAGAACGGGTCCTCCTGGGTGCCTTCGTCAACCACCTGCTTGATGACGTCCACAGGCGTCCAGGGCCCCTCCATTACGGTGATACGCTGTTCGTCTTGCAGGACCTTCATGTTGATCAGAGTTCGCAAACACTTGTCACTTCACTGGCTGTTGGCGGTGCCCCTGGGCGGCAGGCCCCGGCTGTGCCGAGGCCGAAGCGCCGGCTATGCTTGGATGTTCAGTGGCCGGGGGAGGGGCGGTGTCAGGTGTTCGGGCCCGGTGCTGGGGGTCCACTAGCGCTAGTCAACAAGTGTCAGCTGGAAATGAAGACATTGGTCAGACAAGTTCGAAGGTCATCGTTACAAAATTATGACAATTAGCTGCAGATTTAATAACAAAAAAGATAATAAGTCGACCTTATTTAGTTTATTTTTTCCTTACATAACCTGCCGGATTAAAAAGGCTTCTTGCACGCTAAGGAAGTAATATTAACGAAGCAGTACATTTAAATAGACGGGTTATAATTATGATTATGAGTGTATACACAGTGGAGTTTTCAACGCCTTTACTATCGATATAAAGGGAATTAATGGTGATCCATTTATACTGTTAATTCTTAAAGACTTAAGCTGAAACCGTACTATAATATAGGTATAATTTAAACCAAGTATCTATAGTATTCGTAAAACTGATCAATTGATAAAACTAACTAAATAAGTTGAACATTGATTTTTTTTTTGTTACATTGAATGAAACTCAGCACTGGACATAAAATAAAGTTAAAACACTTGCGTTATAATTAAAATTTAATGCACGTCATAATTTAGTTTTAATTAATAAAACCATTTGTATGAGTGACTCATTAATCTGACATTGGTTGTGCTCATATTATGTCCCATCAAATTAAGGATTATTTGAATTAAAAAAAAAAGATATTTTATTGAATTGAGTTTAGTGTGAAAAATATTAATATTTAGGTATTTTGGTAGAATGTGGAGGCTCTTTGAATTCTTTTGTTTGACATTCAATTGTATAGGTGACGGTTCCCACTTACCATCAGGCGGGCCGTAAGCATGTTGGCCATATCCTTGCTAATATCATAAATGTGAGAGTGAACTTATTGGTTCTTTATCTCTTAGCGCCTTAATGGCTGAACTATTCACTATGAAATTTATACACATACTACCTGTACAGGATGTACTACTTTTGCCCATTCGGTAAGCCCAGTCTTAAGCCCATTCAGTGAGCTTATCCCGGTTAAGCGGGCAAAGGGGGGGGGGAAGGGTTGTTAGTAGCGAGATCTAACAGACTTATTACTAGAAATATATCCTAATCAGTAGACCTTCACGCGGTTCCCCCTAGAAACCATCGTGGTTAATTTTTTATTTCACGATGGGTCAACTGACCTGTTTCATCCTCACCTATATTCTCTCACTGGTGCCCCGCCAGGGTATCCCGATAGCACAGACGAAGTGACCAATACATTATCATACATTATATAAAGTCACGGCTGGAAGCTAGTCAAGAAGAAGCTAGAAGGTTAGGTACTCACGTGTCAAGCGTGGTGTGGCGTCAGCGGGTAGGCGCGTGCCGCAGCCAGGGCGGGTCTACGTTGAGCGCGCGCCGCCAGCAGCGCGGCGAGGGGCGCGGGCGCGGTAACTGCGGACGGCTCTCTCGCCCGTCTCGCCCGGCACTTGCACACGCGCCGGACTCACCCGGTGCTCCCTGCACGGGCAAATAGGCGAACATCAGTCAAGTGTTTGTTTATTGTTACTGGTAATTGAAGGGTTAAGGGCCCAGGATCAATACATACTGGTGCTGGGCCCTTAACTCACTGAAATTGAAATAACCTATATTCATATAGTTCCTTTAAACGAATAATCGAGCCGACCATAAGTTTGAGAATTGTTTTTTTATGAGAGGTAAACAACATCTAATGGAAAGCGACCACTGTCGATCATAAAAACCTGAATATGAAAGGAGTTGTTTGTGCGTTGCTGGCTTTTTAAAAATGCCATATTTCTGACGAAACAATTTTACACCAAACCTTGAGATAATACGTGACTCAAAAAAAATTATGTCAATTCCAAAAATACTCACAGATACCTAAAGATAAAGTGTGAATTGAAATTGAGATAAGACGGCATTCGTATGTACTGATGTCCAAGAGTAGCAGAGGAACTGTTTCTAATGCTCTATAGTATTCATTATTCTATCATTGCTTTAGGGGACTTTATTGTATAACGCAATTTTTGAAGATTTTTGATTCTCCCTCCCACAATGAAACGCGCCGTAACATTTTGTGTCCCCCCCCCCCCCCTCTAAACCACATGTGACCATTTTACTTTAAATAAAACTGACATCGAAAACAAAATAAAAATTACGTACAATACAGTTAGGGAGGGGAGGAGAGAGAGAGATTGTTAGTAATAGGGTTTCACAGCGTTACACTTAGTTCTAAACACCACTATTGTATAAATATTCGATTGTTACAACAGTTGTGCATGTTTTAACATTTCGACTTCAAAATAATTAAAAATTATTTGCCACAAATAAAAACACGACTTTAATTGTGACAAAACTAGTTATTTAGTTTATAATTTACTGAATGGATGTGAATTTTATACAAGGAAAAAAATTCCAAATCGGAATGGACGCATGGGGGGGGGTATCATGGGCGAAACAATATATTGTGTCCATGGTACCGCTCATGTCTATAGGCGACGGTTACCACTTTTCATCAGGTGGGCCGTCAGCTTGTTTGCCATTCTAAGTTATATAAAAAAAAATCAAATACGAGAGCGAAAGAGAAAGAAAACTTAAAATCAACCATAATCATCACCCAAACATATACATAACACACATTAGTGCTGGGTAATATATAGCGATTACTATATATTTTAGTTACAATATCTATATACTGATCTAATAACGAATATTTTAAAAATCTTTTACCCAAAAAATAACAATGGATAACAGACTTTTAACATATATTCGACCGATAATGGGCGATATCGAAATAGGTGATGACCTTTTTTCCCACCATCAATGTCCAGAGGAACTCGATATATAGATATCAGATCGGTATCAATATTACCCATGTCTAATTCACATGTCGATATTTATAAATATTTCCAACCTTGAACTTACACTAGGACATTGAAAATTCGCTATTATCAGCAAATTGGAATGATTCTGAAAGTTGACTAATACGAGACGTGTATCCAGATTTGTGATCCAAGTTTTTATCGACGTTATTACAAGAATTATATAAATAATAATAATAAATCACATTAATTATATTAACTATATCATCAAACAAAACAAATTACATATCTATTACGAGTTAAAAACACAACTAACCTTTAAGGGCCATCAATATATGATAATCAAATAAATACGGGCGATCGAACGCGATAAAACAAATGAGATAATACCGACCCAGATATACTCACGTATTTTATAAAATGTACAGCGATAATCTAAAATTTTACTCCACAACAAGGAAGTACAAGTTCTGCGACTAATTAGGATTGGATTGGGTTTCACAAAACAAAAAAAAAAAGACATTAATTGTGGAAAAGCCAGTTATATTAATTTAAAAATTTTACGACTATATCCGATTTCGATATATTGTCTATAGGACAAATCTTCAAGTATATCTTTACAGATAAAAAAACAGTGAATCTAAATAAATAAATAAAAAATAAAAATAACTGTACTCAGTTGTGCATGTTTTAATAATCGACTTCAAAATAATTCAAGATTGTGTCCACAAAAAAAAAAAAAAAAAATTTCAATTATGACAATATTAATTATTTTGATTAAAAAACTGATTTTGATAAAATTTCTATAGGACAAATATTTAATTATACCCTTTCAGATAAAAAAGATTTTTCCAAATCGGTTTACAACTGACGAAGTTATGTCATAAAAAAACAAAAGAAAAAAAAAACAGCCAAATTGAGAGTTTCCTTCTTTTTGAAGTCGATTTTGAAAACCGATGAAGATATAAGAATAAGAACCATATATCAGATCTTAACCCTTCTTTGCATGATTTTTTTTTTTTGTTATTGGTAAAATAAATCAAGAAGATATAATTCATGTTCAAAATTAAAGGAAAAGTGGATAAAAAAATAAATTTGACAGCTATGTTTTATTTTTAGCAATGGACATTAAAAAGGTATCCAGACACGATCAACTTAAAGTGAACTTGATCTTTTATATAATTTTTGGGCATCAATGTCATGATGGAAATAAATTTCCACCATTATGCAAAGAAGGGTTAAGTTAGATCTTTATAAAGACGACGAGATTATTTGTAGACACATTAGACTGGAAATATTTGAATTTAGAACATGGAATCGCGTATCTTCATCATCATCATCATATCAGCCATTAATCGTCCACTGCTGAACATAGGCCTCCCCTATAAAAGGGGGTTTTGCCAGTAGTTGCCACGCCTAGCAGGAGGGTTAGACTTTGATGATGTTTTAAGAGGGACGCTGCTGCCTATCCTTCAACCATTATGTTCCCTTAATCGCCTTTTATGACACCCATGAGAAAGGAAGGGGTGGCCAATCGAGTGTAATTATTTTGCTTTGCAATAAGCAGGTTTTTGTTTCACAAAGGGAAATGACAGCTATAATCGTCACAAAATGAATATGGGAACAAAACGGAATAAAATCCAATCGATTACAAAGTAATGATGAGAATCTGTACAATAATTTATCAAGCGACAGAGTAAAAAAGAGAAATCAGATGAATTGAGAAACTCGTCCTTTTGGGATTAACTGAAAAACCCTGGCTTCAATATTAAGGCCTCTAAAGCTAATAGGTATCTAGCAGATTTTTAAACATATCTTCATAATACAATTTATGTTCGGCGTAGATACAGTTATCAGCAATTTGTATAGAATTTCGGTGACAAAAAGGTTATCATCATACAACTGTATTTATCTCAAGTTTGATCAGGTACTTGCGTAAGAGTTTAAAATATTATTATTATACATAACACTTGAAATAATATTATTTTAAGATAATTATTAATCGTAGCCTCGTGCCTCGCAGAAAATTAAAAACAATTTTTACTTTTCTAAACGTTTATTACCACGGTTTACAGATTCTAAACGTCGCTGGCCGATACTAAAAACTTTATCTATGTAAATTGCCGGCTAACTCTTCTGTCGTAAAACATGTCATTACACAAATAATGTACGGTGGTGTCTGGTAGTGTATAGTCCTTTGGTCTTGGCATAAAATGAGACATCCCTTTCTCCCGTGGGTGTCGCAAGAGCCGACTAAGGGAACTTAATGGTCGAGGGATGGACAGCAGCGTCCCTCGTAAAACATCACTTTTACCAGAGAAAGACTTTGTACAAAAGTCGATTGCTTGGGTACCTCTGTCCCATTCGTGTTTCTACCGTGAAGAAGTTGTGTTTGCATGGCTATGTTTCCGTTTGAAGGGTGGGATATGGCGTGAATTTACTGGGTACAGAGGAATAACATCCAAGTCCTCAGGAATGGCAACGCATGGGGAGTATCATGGGAGAAACAGTATACTCTGTTATGTCCATGGTACTGCTCATGTCTTTAGGCGACGGTAACCACTTTCCATCAGCCGTCAGCTTGTTTGCCATTCTAAGTTGTATAAAAAAAAATCACTAAAGTCTAACAGCGATTGCCAAACCAACCTGCCAAGCAGTGCAATTACTGGCAAAACTCCCCAAGGCCCTTTCTGCTATTTTCCGCAGTGGACAGTTCACGGATGATATGATGATGAATTTATTGTAATTTCACTCTCTGGCTATATGCAAATGTGCAAAACAAAATGGTAAAACCTGCAAATATTTGTCACTAAGCGGTCTATGTTAGACTTCAACTAGTTGTGCACGAATGAAAGGTTCAAAAGAAGATTGCTGCAAGCGTTTGAAATGCATGTAGATGTTAGAGCATCTTTTAGTATTTGCTAATTGTCTGCTTATTCTTGAAGCTTGGCGAGTGTGTAATCGCAGATTCAGTCTGCATAACATAGCACAGTTCATCAACTTCCTTTCTATACTGGACGTTTTTAACTGGCTTCAAAAAAAGGACGAGTTTCTCAATTTTTTTTTTTTTTTTTTTATACAACTTAGAATGGCAAACAAGCTGACGGCCCACCTGATGGAAAGTAGTAACCGTCGCCTATAGACATGAGCAATACCATGGATATAACAGAGTATACTGTTTCGCCCATGATACCCCCCATGCGTTGCCATTCCTGACGACCCAGATATTATTCCTCTGTACCCAGTAAATTCACGCCATATCCCACCCTTCAAACTGAAACACAGCCATGCAAACACAACTGCTTCACGGTAGAAACACGAATGGGACAGTACCCAAGCAATCGATTTTTCTACAAAGTCTCCCTCTGGTCAATACCACCGAACTCTGTCATTTTTAAACTGATTTGAAAGATTCTTTTTTTTTTCATTTGAAAGGATATACTTTCAAATTGGTCGTATAGAAATTTCTTCAAAATCGGTTTAACAACTTAATTTTTAAAACAAAATAACTAGTTTTGCCATGATTGGAACTAGAGGTTTTTTTTTTTTGGTGCAAAATCTACGAGTTATTTACGGAATATTTTATTTGAAACCATATTACATCATCATCTTCCTACCCTTATCCCAATCATTATTTGGGGTTGGCGTAATATGTTTTTATCCATATTACAAAAAGAT